ACCATACAGTTGAAAGAAGTATGAAATTTCTTATAATCTCCGTCTAAATGTAAATGAAGACACTTTTAGAGAGGATTTCTTTGACACATGTTTTCTCACAGAACACTTCAAAAAAGTACCATCCATTACGAAAAACGTTCCTCAAAGAAACAAACTTCACGTAATCACCCACTTCAAAGGTTGTAACCGAGTGGTGTTTATATGTCTGTTTGCTGATTAGTGTGGAAACTTCTAGGTTGTGCACTATCACACTATTGCACTACTGGCTGGCTTATCTATTACTGAAGTTTTTAAACCTCGATAAGGATGGCTGGGTCATGACAGCAGAAAAAAATGAAAAATCTTTTTCGAAGCTTTTGTGAAAGACAAAATAAAGCAGGTTGTTCAGTAAAGAGGTTTTTTCGGTGACAAGTTCTTCTTCAGCTGTACAATCACATTTAGTCAGTCGTCTTTCAATTCCAATAATTTGTCAGGACACGTCACTTAATCCCAGTTTTTCTTCTAATTAGGTCAACTAATTTTCTTCTCTCAAGACTTCTTTTTGTTCATCACATGGATTTCTAGTAGAACATAAGGCCTCAGCAGTACCTGTCGTCTTTGTCAGCTACCTTGCTGGCAGCCTACAACTTTCGCTTCCTCTTCACACGATTTCCTCAATGTCATACTTGGACACCCAACTCAATACTTACCATTCAGATTCCACTCTAGGACCTGACTTGTGATGTCGCACAATGGCCTCTTCAGCCTGTTTCCAATCCATTTCCATTTCTTACTGCATATTTATAGAGCAACAGGTTGTTGGTTAATTTGTTGTCAAAATTCCTTGTTACCTATGCTTCCCAACCAATCAAGGTGGCTTAGCTTCCATTTACTGTTCAGCCATTTTTTATTAATTTTAGAAGAAAAACGTTTAGTATCATCAATGTGTTTCTCTGCTTAAAGTCAGTAATATGTTTTATTGCCTTAATTAAAGTATGCTAATACTATTGTACATTTTTAATTGTAAGCAGTTAAAAATGTAGCCTAACCAAGTGAACTGATGGGAACCTGAACTGTGCATACAAAAGAAGTTTGTTCAGTCATTAAATCTACAGTGGACCTGACCTATCTTAACACCAAATACGTAATTTTTGTTTCGTCTTTTTCTTGCTTGTTTGTTTCTTAATTGTATAATATTTTCTTCCGGACCCCTTATTAAATCTCCACCCCTTATTACCACTGCTGTTTACTTGACTATTGTTCAATTTCAATTTTAGTTGAGCTCTACTCAATCTCATCAACTAGATTACGTCACTCAACTTGCTTATTTAATCTTATTCTATGATATAAGAATAAAACTTGGGCACTGTGGTAGAGTGTAATTCCATTATGGGTAAATTTTATTTTGATAGCGTCTCACAGTGTTATACAGTAATATTTACTGATGACGTTTCGAGCACAATTTATTGCTCATAATCATATCAAGGTGATCACACGACTTCCTAAATTCATTTATATAGTTCCATTATTTTTCACTTGATTTCCACTTGATTTGATTGGTAGTGTTATTTTCCATATTTCGGGTATTAGTGATGATTCATTCCTATTGCACGTGTTGGGTGTAGATTCGATGAACAAAGATTCAGTAATCAACCTCTCTCTCCACCTACCTAGATTACTTTTTAGAATTTTAACCCTCTCCCACCCTATTGTGTGGTTGTGTGTTAATGCATGCATTGCAATTGCCGAGCTTTTTTCTAAATTACTTATCTTTTCTGGGTCAACCATTCTTATCTTAGCTAAATTCTTATGTTCTGACAATCTGACTATTCCTGACCTACTAGTTTGACCTATGTAGTTGACCTCACAGTCATTGCAGGGTATTTTGTAAATTATATTATTTTGTCTAATTGGGTCCACTGGGTCCTTTAACCTACAGAGCTTGTCCCTGAGTGAGTTTGTAGGTTTAAATGCCACCCTAATTCCTGCTTTATTTAGAATCCTACGTAGGGTCTCAGATGTCCCCTCTTTATATGGTATAACTGTCGATGACTTATATTCTCTCTTATTTATGTTATCATTACTAGTTCCACAATTATTTTTATTTTTATATTTATGGATATATTTATGGATAGCTGGGAAAATATGGCACTTAATACGTTTAATCCTACTCCAAAAATATGGTGGAGATATGTGGATGACACTTTCACAGTGTTAAAAACAGAACATATCTCTAGCTTCTTGACACATATTAACTCACTAGTAGAGGGGATAAAATTCACATTTGAATCGGAAGATGAACAAGGAGAGTTGGCTATGCTAGATTGTAAAATAAAACGAATAGAAGAAGGTAAACTTCACACTAGTGTGTATAGAAAACCAACGCATTCTAATAGATATTTAGATTTTAATTCGTCGCATCCGTTAACTGTTAAGGCAGGCTTAGTTAAGTGTCTAACAAACCGAGCCATAGCACTAAGTAGCACAAAAAAAGACCTAAACGACGAGATAAAACAGATAGAAGAAGCGTTGGTGTTGAATAATTATCCTTTAAAATTCATTAGGAAGATAACTAAAGGCCAAAAACAAAATAAAAATAAAAATAATTGTGGAACTAGTAATGATAACATAAATAAGAGAGAATATAAGTCATCGACAGTTATACCATATAAAGAGGGGACATCTGAGACCCTACGTAGGATTCTAAATAAAGCAGGAATTAGGGTGGCATTTAAACCTACAAACTCACTCAGGGACAAGCTCTGTAGGTTAAAGGACCCAGTGGACCCAATTAGACAAAATAATATAATTTACAAAATACCCTGCAATGACTGTGAGGTCAACTACATAGGTCAAACTAGTAGGTCAGGAATAGTCAGATTGTCAGAACATAAGAATTTAGCTAAGATAAGAATGGTTGACCCAGAAAAGATAAGTAATTTAGAAAAAAGCTCGGCAATTGCAATGCATGCATTAACACACAACCACACAATAGGGTGGGAGAGGGTTAAAATTCTAAAAAGTAATCTAGGTAGGTGGAGAGAGAGGTTGATTACTGAATCTTTGTTCATCGAATCTACACCCAACACGTGCAATAGGAATGAATCATCACTAATACCCGAAATATGGAAAATAACACTACCAATCAAATCAAGTGGAAATCAAGTGAAAAATAATGGAACTATATAAATGAATTTAGGAAGTCGTGTGATCACCTTGATATGATTATGAGCAATAAATTGTGCTCGAAACGTCATCAGTAAATATTACTGTATAACACTGTGAGACTCTATCAAAATAAAATTTACCCATAATAATCTTATTCTAGTTTCTATCCAGTTAACGAAATTTGTTATCTAAAATTTACAATTCTAATAGTTTTATTTAAGTTTCTATGTGATGAACGCATTTTACATTACATAATTTTCAAGAGTTGATTTGTACGGATTTGATTTGTTTTTCGAGTTTAACCGTGAATTGATCTCAGTTGGAGAACCATTGAAAACCAGGGAGTACTGGACAGCTGCTTCGTCCTATTTTGAAACTCTTTGCAGTACGCACCCACCGGGGTTCGAACCCAGGACCTTCTGGTTACAAGGCGAGCTACCTCGTAGACCATTAAGCAGTCACTAGGACCTGAGCCAATAGCCCATGAATTCTAACTACTACCAATTCGTGATTTAGCGCGACCATCAACCAGTGTCATCGGTGGGAACTCCATCCTCAATCCTAACTGGATGGATCTCACTGGTCACGACTTCTTACTAGAACTCCAGGAAATTCCGTCCTGAGCGAGTACTAGTGAGCATCAGATTATTTTCAAAAGTTGATTTGTAAGAATTTGATTTGCTTTTCGAGTATACTGGCATATCAGCCTGCCTTGTAACCGCAAGGTCCTGTGTTCGAAACCCAGTGGGTGCGTACTTCCGATGAGTCTGAAATTACGTAATTTGTTATCTGAAACTTACAATTCTAATGACAAATCTTTGGAAATATTCATTCTGTTGCTGAGCAAATTTACTATATACATGCAATTGTACAACTTGAGATTGATATCGCCTTTTCTTTTATATGAACTGGTGTCATATTATAGTGCTTCAACTTTTTGTCCTGGAATTATTCAGCTATTTTAACGTGACCTCACAGTCACATTGTAATTACTTCTCATGGCCATGATAACGCTTAACATAGTGAATCTAATCAGCATACAAACAGTTATACTACATTTTCATTGTTGGTTTTGTTTTTGTTTAACCTGAAGCACTAGAGATAGAAATAATAACAAGATCAGGATAGGCATTCATTTTACCCAATTTCCTACCAGAATAAATATAACTTCAAATTGAAGTATGCGCTGAAAATGCGGCCTAGTAGGGCAATGAAAGCTTCGCAAATAAACCATCCAGCTCAGAGAACACAATTACATCAAAATATAACAGTGTTATGTGCATATAGTTAAGATAATCCGCCTTCCCCTTATTGAAAAAAACAACAACTGGTTCTGTATATATCGCGAATTTGCAGAAGCTGAAATTCATAGGCCAATAGGATTCCGAATGAAGGGTTCTGGGGTACGAACCCCGGTGGGTGCACACTATTGAAGAGCCCCAGACTAGGGCGAAACATCTGTCCAGTACTTCCAGTGGTTCTCTAGTTAACGTTAACTCGTGATTGAACCTTTAACTGCGGTGTCATTTTATTTCCACTGTATAGTTTGTAAATATATTTCACTCTTTACATTTTTCTCATTAAAATATTGTAGTTGAAGAAAATTCTGTCGGGAAAATTAATCAAGTACTATATATTTTTTACATAGATGTCAAATGTATATTGGGACAATTAATAAGAGCAATAATAATAAAAAAATGATACATACAACAATTCGATTCAAAACTCATTATATATATATAAATGTATATATATATATATATACTTTTATAATACTTCCATACTGCTTGTGTTTTCATTCAGTACATATTCAATGTGGTGTCTAAGTAATACTGATTATATATATTTTTCATATCCTATTATAAGTTTGCACATTGTTGACGACGATCTCAAATGGATAGTAATCAAACTCTATGAAAAGGAATCTTCTAGTTATCTTCTGATTCAATGGGTAATATTTAATTGATTCATCGGTTGCTCTCATTTTATGCAAACTTTCGAAATGTGATTATTGTTATTAGTGCTTGGTGTTGTAGTAGAACCGGTAGAGGTGGCAATACTAGTAGTAGTAGTAGTACTAGTGGTATTAACCGTTAATGCTGGATTACTGCTATTCGTGGTAATACTGTTGACAGATTTATGTATATTAACAAGTGAATTGTCTAATTTCATTGCATTTTGATTCATAATACTTGGATTAGCAAATGTATTGCGTAAGTCAGCAATTTGTCCTTCTAAATTATCTATTCTTGTAATAATTCCATTAATTTGTTGACTAAGTTGTACATGATAATTACTTAAGCATTTTTCAATACATAATTCAATTTTCTGTAAATCTTGACAGGGAATCGGTGATGATGGACTTGTAGAGTATACAGGTGTTACTGCTGGAGTTATTGACGTAGGAGGTGGCAGTGGAGCTGGTAATTTCTTCGAGGATACCGTAGACGTCTGACCGATATTTAACGGCAGTGATGGTATTATACTTACAGGTGGTTGTGATACATTCTGATCACCTATTGGTTTCATTGTCAGTTGAGTTTCTGATTTGCGTTTCTCATTCCTATCATAAATTGCTGTTAAACGATTTGTCTCTTCATTTGGTTCTTCGTTAAGATTTTGAAGCGGCGCCTGTGAAACCCTAGAATAAACAAATATACGCATATATATCATATTTGTGGTTCTGAATATGTTTTTTTAAAGTGTGTTTCATTCAAAATTAATTTCTCAGTGAATTTTAGTCTTCCTTACATCCCTCAGCTGAAAGTTGCAATCACACAACCAGTAATTCCTAACATCCCGTGCAGCCAACATTTTTCGGATAACCTTAGATTAAAAGCACCAGAATTCATGGAACGATGTCACTGTGGCAGTTTCTAATGCTATTCCAACTTACTGTTATTATTTAAGCCGCTAGAGCCAGTAAGTGTCTATTAGTAAATAAGCGTCGTTTATTCACGTTAACCTTTCATTAGAACTGGTTTGTTTCCAAAATAAGTATATTTCATTAGGATATTCGCTGAGGGTACCGTTGAGTAACATCACAAACCAGGCCTTCGAGTGGAACCTGAATGGGAAACGACGAGTTAGGGGTGGGTCTGAGGTTGACATGGAGGAGGTCGTGTGAGGAGGAGATTAGAGCCTGTGATCAGTCGTGGAGCCAGCTAATGATGAGACTGTAGAGAACAGAGTGAAGGGAAGATGTGCTGCTGAGGCCTTATGTTTCACTCAAAAACCAAAGGAATAATAATAAAAATTAATATTCAGCCACTTCACTTTTTATGCACAATATATTTCATGAAAGCCCATCCTATAATATCATCTTACATATGACACACGACATATTTCTTTGGTTATAGGATTTCATCGTGAGCTGACATTGGTTAGAGAACCATTAGAAAACCTAGGAGTACTAGACAGTTATTTCGACCTAGTTTGGGACTCTTCAACAGTAAGCACCCACTGGGGTTCGAGCCCAGGACCTTCTGGTTACAAGCCGAGCTCGTATACCATGAAGCCACTGGGACCCGATCCAATGGCCAGCCCATGAATTCTAACTTCTGCCAATTCACGATATAGCGCAACCGCTAGCCAATGTCTTCGGCGAGTATTTGTCCTCACACCCGACCTGCTGCACCCTACTGGTCACGACTTCTTCGCTAAATGTTAATAATTTCCCTCATATTGTTAGGAATACACCACTTTTTTGGATATTTACTATTTAAACGATATATTCACACTACGACTTTGTACCACTGTCATCCCACATATATGCTGAAAATATGATCTGCACTGCAAAGAATCACACAGTGTCGAAAGTACAGGCAAATGAACAGTCACTGAGGGAGGTGCAGGAATATGAAACAGAAAGCCATTATGATAACACCAAGGAAAATGTTTCATTCAGCTTACTTGGATATAAGACGAGCCCATTTCCTAGCAGGATTCTGTCCTCTTCCGATACCTGGTTGGACAACAGATGGACTTTCTCCTGGAGGTTGCACATCACCAGAATTATTAGGAAGTGATTTAAGAGGACTTGATATGGGTGTTGGTACTTTAAATTCACTGACTGTAGAATTCATAGCTTCATTTTCTGTTACTACCGGTTGAGGTTTACCATTTGATGCTGGTTTATCAGTAGTACTATTTACCATTACATCTGAAATACTTGAATTTTCTAATTCTGAACCATCAAGTGAAGTGTGACAGGATACAATTGTACTTAAGCATTGTTTAGACGACAAATCACCGACTTGACTTGAACGACGGAGCCTAGAAATTAATTTTCTTACAGGGTGAGTTGGTGGAAGTGTACTAAGTGGTGGCTCTTTGTTTTTTCTCATTGAAAGTTCCATCTCTCTTCTTACATCCGATAATTTTCGAAATATCACCTGAAAGAGAAATAAAAAGCCATGCCTGTCTTAGATTATTGAATGTACCGAGAATTCTATCCACCTAACAGGCTACTTGTAGCAGTAAACATTTGTCTGAAATACCAATAAGCCCCAGGTGTATTTTTCCATCTTCCACTGTCCTATTACTCTGTCATCATGGCAGTTAGGTATTTTGCAATTCTCAGTATTTTTACTTGTGACCACTTGTCTGTTACAGACAATCTTGACTACGAACAACAACTGTGAAACTACGTAACCAGACATTTATATCAGTACCATGCTTTTATCATATTTGAACATTTTCATTCCTGTTTTGCTTAAGACAAACTGAAGTTATGAAATTAGTTCGTACTAGAACTTACCAGGAGATATAACGACAGATATCTGTTTTTTTGATGTTATCTATCAAACATGAACGATATCTGCATTTTTATTTAGTTTCATCTCAGTTAAGATGATTAAAATATATATACCTCACCCCGACATGAGGTGTGGGGCACCATAGATTTGTTCTTTGAAGAGTTTTAAGTAGACTGTGAAGTTTTATTGTTTAAAAACGGTCACAAGGTGCAAAGTCATTCTGTCACGCTGCAAAAATGATACCAATTTATTCATGCGCAGTTGACAGAGAACCGACTTTGGTTGTATAACTATCAACGGCAGGGGATTTAAAACATCTTAAAGATTAAACGGCCTACTAATCTGAAAAAATAAAAGCAGCAGTGGCGAGCTATTAGTTGAATAAATTCCTCAGTATTGACGCAAAAGAGGCTGTTAAGTCAGTGTTAGATTGCTTATCACATCAATTTCTTACTTCAATAAGAAATGCACTAAACGCAAGTGTAAATAGCTGTGAAAGGCAGCGGTTGAAAAGAAGATTTACATGTTATCAGATGTCTGATGAATGTCACCGCTCCCTTTTTTGAAATCATCATGTGGAGTATGAACATTAGGGGGTTGATATGGAAGTCATTAGTCAGCTGAAGTCATCAGCCTTCAGAAGAATCATCTGAGATATATTTATCAGCCGCTTATCAATGTAAGCAATCCGGAAGTAGAATTAGGCCAAAGGGAAGTGAAACGTGGCCGAAATAAAATACAGAACAAAACCACAAGGCTGTTGTTCTGAGTCAAGTTTCTCACTGTGCATTATTTGACTGCAGTAGAAAGGACAAGAGAAAAAAATGGTTTTACATTTTGTCTGATATGGATGAGAAAAGCTGACATCAGCGTATGTTATTCCTACTTTAACCATTATAACACCTTTCAGCTAACTAAAAACTAATGCTCGTTTATTCAAATACAAAGATATTTGAAAGCAGAATTTTTATGTAATTATTTCTTTCGAAGGTTTCTCAGATGAAAGCTTCTCAGACTCTTAGCCTTAGAAGAAATAGGAACAAACCAAAATATTGTTACTCTTCAACCAGACAAAGTTTCAGACATATTTCTACTGAATACAACAGATTACATCTCTAGGATGAATCAAGTTCTAGATGATGCTTCATGATTTAAGGAGTACGATTGCACTAAAATGTAACAGAGAACATTGAGAGACAGATAGCGATAGAGCTTAGGGAGTCCCTAACATAGAAACTTATCGGCAATGAAACGTCTAAAGAACTCAGGCCCGAAGGATCGTACTTTTCTTTAATGTATGGACAACCAAAAGCACATAAGGACGACATGCTAATAACACCTAACCTACTAATGGTCACTTCCCTCTATCGTAAACCTTCTCATTTGTTAGCGTAAAACCAGAAAATCTTCAGGAGGAGTTACCGAGTCATTTGATTTTGTGCTTTTTATCTAACGGGTTTACAATCCCTGTTAATAAGCACTCTCCTTCAGGAAGCAATACCACCTATCAGTATGCAGAGGATATCTCATTACTGAGGGCTAAAATAAGGCGTCAACTGATCTAATGTAACAGCTTGTTATATCGATAGGCAGATGAAATAGCAATGGAAAGTCCACTGGACCCAATTATAGCCGACATATTCATGTCCCATCTGTAAATCACTACTCTGAAATCTACAGTCACAGCACCGACGTTCTGTTGAAGATATATAGGTGATACATTTAGTGTATGTGACGATAATAATCATGCAGAATTACTGATACAGAAGTTTAACAGTGTTCATTCAAACATCATTATCACAATGGAGAAGGAAGTCAGTAATTATCCACACTTTCTCGACTTATTCATGAGCAGAAGACGAAACAGTGAAAATGATCATTCATTACAAAAACAAAATAGCAGCAGTCGATACCTAAACTTCACCAGCTTCTGTTCTGTTACCTATAAGAGAGGTCTGGTTAGAAAGCTAAATAACAAAGCTGAAAAGCCTTTCACCAAACAAGACATTAAAAAAATGAAATCAGCCACATCAAGGAATGTTTAAGAAACAATGGATATCAAAAACTGTTTGTATATGAATACTGTTAACATGTCAAATGAAGGTGAGAGTACTATGTTGTCAAGAAAGTTTCCAACTTTTCAAGAGATTACGTAACCATCTACACTTATGTGTGAATTAACTTTAAAATTCAGGACATTTTATAATTTACGATGTCTCTGTTTTGAGCATAACTTATTGTTCTACCTCCCTGGATAATATATATCCCGTCTTCATTTTGGACATGTTACTGTAGTCTTATTCAATGAATTGGATATTAAGTATGTCTAAATTACCACACTGATTGCTTCTATTGTTTTATTATTCAAGTTGTTTTCAGATGATGAAACCTCTATGATGTGAAGTCAATTCATGCTATCCTACAAAAGTTGTTCTTATAACGTTATTTAAGCACATGGAATCTTCGAAGATCTTAGCTATCACATAGTTTTAAATATTAGTTTCTGTTTGCAACCTGATCCACTAAATAATTCATGGATCCCATAAATCAATTGAGTTCATGCCGTGTGAATAATTTTCCGAAGTACAACATACATTATTGTGTAAAGCTAGGCTTTTTGGTTCTGAATATTTTATGACTTGGCTGAAACCAGAGTATTAGAAAAAGAAGAATGAACTTTCTTCCCAACTTTTCCTAACATATATTAGTTTACTCAAATGTTAAGTGCCTAAACATGAGAAAATTTCATTCGTTCTGGTAGTGGTCTACTTTGTGTATGCCTTTTGCCTTCGTTGAAACTAAGTGAAGTGTATTAGGCTTTTGTATATTTCACTGGCGTCACAATTATAACGATAGGAAATTAGAAGGCAGGAAAATGGATAACATCATTAGATGTATATGAAACGTTTTCCATATGGTGGGATCAGCTAAAACAAAGCATCCTGTTGTTATTATTATTATGATTCCTTAGAATTCATGTAGAGTAATAGATATTATGGATTCACAAAACAAAAAGTGCACAGAAATTAAATTGCCACTGTTTATCAATTACGGTTAACTGCAGAGTATATTTTGTTTTCAGTAATATATCCCCAGTATCTTTTCCCACAATCGACTTTGTAGATGGACAACAGAGTCATAACGACCTTGAGAAGAATAGAAGAGAAATATCCTACAACTGTCTTTCAAAAGATGTCTACCCTAAACCCAACCAACCAACTCAAAAGTATCCGGTCAAAGTAAACAGAAAGTCGTCCTACCATATATGAAGGAAATTCCTGTAACCATTGCAAGACTACTGGAACCTTTTGAAATAGATGCCACCCACAAACCAGTCAAATCCATTGAATCCGTATTATGTCAACCAAAAGATGCAACAGCAAAAGAAGAGAAAAAGTCAACACTATCTACAAGATAAATTAGAACAACTGTGAAAAACATCAATTGATCAAAATTGACGCCTCCTCTGTCTTGCATCCAAGAATATAAGCTGGCGGTTAGAAAACACGGTGTCTATTCCCACAGACAACAGTTCAGTCGGGAAAATGTAAAAATTCCTAGACGAAGGAAACACTAAAAATGCTGGAGAAGCCTGGTACTGAGGCGAATCTCCAATCAACAAACAAGCAGTAAGATGTTCGCCAACCGCACGTGTAACTCGGGGCTCAATCCCTAGCTGACACCCTCCTAGACCTCACTAAGCCAGTATTAAACTCAGAGGGAAGGCTATGCATGAGGCTAGCAATCTCACCCAGTAAAAATTAAACCACGGCTGCTAAAAATTCAGAGTTCAAGGCTGAAGTCTTATGTTCCAATTGGAACATAAATGCTGTCAAATATAATAAATAAGAGAATGAGAAGAAATTCATACAGAAATCACATACACATTCAAGATTGCCAGGAAAACTGGCTGACTTCAAATAGAGGCACGAACTGAAGATGTTGTATAGAAAAACAACGGAAGCTTCTCAACTAAACAATCCATCTCAGAGAACACAACTACACCAATATTCTTCTTAGAATTCAAGTAAATTCATACAAAAGATTAGTGTTTAGCAGGAGGATGACCAACAGCTAACACGTTTGTGGGGATTAGACTAATACAAAGACGAATGTCTAATTTTTCAGTGACATTATTTTGTACAGAAATAATAGAACTACAAAGAACGCTTTGATTATACATAGAATACTTTAAAGAAAACGAAATAATTCCTTAAGGTTTCAACTGAAAGCAACATTTAAAAGTCTTTATTCAAGAGAGAGTAGATTTTTAACAGTGTTATTTCATACAGCTTACCCGGTTGCATAAATTATAAGTTAACTCTAAATTTCTTGTAAAACTGTTTGCAAATGCATGATAAAAATTAAGTACAATTCGTAAACGATCCAATCGTATTGTATGCAAAGTGCAATAGGTTAACGCTCTAACACTTGCGGCAGCCGGTACTGAAACTGTATTTTTCCATAAAGGATCACCGAAAACATCACCTTTACCTTGAGGAAGAAAAGAATATAATAATGAAAAGAATGCATTAGTGTGATAAATTACATGGAGTATTTATTAATCCTATTCTCAGTTTTAAATCAATTTTTATTAAAGTGAGGATTGTGCTACTGACAAGGATTTGTAAGTAGTTTATTGTATGTGGCTTCGTCTGCAAGCATATTGAATAGGAGAGTGACGAAATAATTGGCAAATAAAAGAAATAAAAGGCAGCTGTGAAATAATATAGCAAGCACAGAAGGAAGACCATAGAAGTACAATACGAAAAACATGCGCAAATGGAGATTCCAATTAAAGGTGTCAGTATTTGGGCATGACTATGTATAAAATTAACATGTAACTTTTCTACTGCTCATTACCTCTGTGAACGGCGGTTACAAGGGGACCTCTTGGACGTTCTCACAACACACTTCAACACTTAGTCATCCGGAATATATTCCTCATGTACTAGACTATTTTTTTCCTACACGTTCCCCAGTGGAACATAGGGCTTCAAGCTAGTGGCTTGAAGTTTCTGTAGCAGTGTTTATTTTAGAGGATGTGGTTGCTAGCCTCATGCCCAACCTTTCCTCTTTACCAGCATTATTTCTGGTTTAGCGAGGTAAAGGGGTGCGTCTGTGGCCGGGGATCGAACCCCGGACCATGTGCATGGTCGGCGAGCGTCTTAACCGCTATGCCACCGACGCACGTACTAGACTATAACGAATACTTATTGTGTTAGGGATGATGACACTACCCAGGTGCCTAAGTAGGATTGGGTGTGACGAGGATACAATACGTGACCAGTTGGTTGAAATTCTAGTTTCTGAGCCAATCGCCCACATTCTCAGTGTTCGTACTTTAAACTTATTTGACTAAACAATACGTGTGATCAAAGCTTCAGAAAATCAAAGAGAACATCTGTCAATGCTAATATATTACATTCACGCTATCTGAGAAAAGTAATTTCGGAAAGTAAACGTAACAAGAATAATTAAAGTCATGGGACTCAAGTACAGAGGATATAAAGCCAAAGGTTGTAAGCTAATGAAAAATAGACCTTAAAGCTTTAATAGATGTGAACACTGAGGTTTTGAAAAAAACTGTCACATTAGATAATATTGGAGTCTTTTGAGAATAAATATTAGACATCAAACTAACTCAGAAATATATATGAATATATGCCTACATCGTTTTAATTTGATGAACATGATTTCAGCTAGAATGACAGAATCCTCTAAGTTTAAACTTCTCAGCTGATGAAATACAAAAGCATAAAGCTTAAAATATTAACGTCACACAATAAGAGTACTTAGATATTAATTTGATGTCGGAAAACTGCTGTATGAGGTGATGGACACTTGAGCAGTTTTATTGATTTATGAACTCGGAAGTTTCTACTGTAAAGAAGAAAAGAGAGGAGGTGAAAGAATTGACGAAACGTATTGTACATAAGTAAATTTGGTATACCATATTTTCAAACTGCCATTTGCACATCATTTACCACATCCTTGAAGAATTGGTCGAATATCATCAAATTCGATAGCTTCTTGGATTCTGCATCATATGGCAACATTCTTCTCATGGTTCTCTTCTTTGATTGATGTTTCTAGTGTGCAAAACATATTGTTACTTTTCTGAATTCGTTTCTGATATACTACTTATATCGGATTATAAGTAGCATCCACCACACTACGTCAGTCTAGCGAATCATCAGTACTGTTACTGAACGACGAAGTACGCATTATTTGTATCGTCCATATCAGACTGGTTAGTTCGCTCTCTTCTTCATTCATCGTTTGTTGAATTCCTTGGTCACTTTTCTGGTTATTGATTCCTTTATATATGGTCAAAGAGTTGAGCTATTTTATGATCATCACATGACCATCAGTCATGTTTTTTGGTTACATTTCAACATATTTCAACCTTACTTAGTTTTGAAGGAAAATTGAATTTAGCTGCCACTTCTACTTGTTGTTCTTCTGGGTTCTTTTTTATCATCTAGAGTTTGCATTTTAATTCGTTTACAATCTTAAATAGTTTCTTACTTGATCTGTTGTTTTCACAGTGCTATGTTGTGATTTCCTTCAACTGCAACAGATTGTTAAGATTCATTGTTTTTTAAGATGATAGTTCTCTTGCCTCATCATTCTGTAAAGTTGCCTTGTTTTGAAAATTCTTTTTGTTTTGTTTTCTATTCAACAGCAGTTGACATTGGAGGCCCTCTTAATCATCTTCTTCTTCCCTGGTTCGTAAATAATGAGTAGATCTATGTGTCTGACGATTGCTTATTCTCCTGAATGCACATTTCTATGTTAAATATTTCAGAACTGTATATTTTTCAATGAAACTTGTGGTCGTGTTAACTGGTGTGTGTGTGTGTGTTGAGCTGAATGGTTTCATTGTATTACATAATACAGTCGTACTACCAGACGGTGTGCCTATGGAAATCAGCTGGTAGGAAGACATCTCGAGATAAGAAAATACATGGATACTCATACTTATTTAGGAAAAATTGTATAAATAGTCGTATTCTTACCTAGTATAGCTATAACTTCATCATCCTGTAATACTTCTAAAGTTCCACTAGCTATAAAACACAATTGATCAACACTTTCACCTTGATGACATATTAAATCACCTGGTGCTGTATGCAGCGTTTGAAAGTTGACAGCTAATGAACGTCGACAACCATCACTTGCCAGACGAAATGCAGCATGACTATTGAATACACAACGGTTCAAGTGGACAGATATATCTGCTTGCATATCTTTTGGACAATAATTGAGTACCTAAAACATTCAACAGTATTAGGGATATATATATATATATATATGTATTAATATATTTGTACGGCACAAAACTATTATGTCCCACTGAAAACAAAAATTGTAAATCATATGAAATAGATTTAATCATGTCTAGTGTCCAATATTCATTTATTATTCAAGAAAGTGTCTATCCTAAATCTTGAGTGGTGTTTATCGTCTTTTCATCTTAACCTTCTCAAAATGGCCATCTTGCTTGTTGTTTATCGTCTGCAAATAATGATTACATATGACAAATGAGCGTCAGTGGCACAGCGGTAGAATGCTCACTGACCACGCCTCATGTGGTTCGAGGTTCGCTCCCCGGCCGACGCTCTCCTTTACATCGCTAAGCCAGTAATAAGACTGGTAAAGTAAGAAGGTTAGGCAAGAGGCCAGCAACCCCATCCTATAAAAATAATCACTACTGCTACCGAAACTGCAAAGCTCTAGCTTGAAGCCCTATGTTCCACTGGGAACGTAAAGGAATGAAAAAAATTGACAAATGAGTTGTCCTTTATAACTTAAGCAACTAAGTAAGGAGGTTGAAAAGAAGTAATTCTATCACATTCATCTGCTTTCTATGTGTCTGCAAATTATAATTGTTTGATAAAACGTTATTTAGGCATCAAGCCTTGCGTTTGCACAATGGTAGAGGCTGTGTTTTATTTGTTATTTCGCAATATATATCTATTTATTCAGTTCTACATCTAAATGAACATCTACATGCAGACATAATATCACTGCAGGATATTTTTTATGATGTAATTCTATATAATGTCTAAACATTTCTATTGTCTATTCATGTTTGCTTATCAGAGTGATTAGAATTTATCTGATAAGACTAAATTACAGGGTGTACTCCCTAGTTTATCATTAGCCTCTTAAAATACACCCATCTTACGTATTTCAGTCAACAAAAAATCCTCATATAAAAAGGCAGTTGAGTAACATGTCAACGGGTGATGGACAAAACACTGACGTACATCTCATCAACTAGAAAACACAGAAAAAACCCATGTAACTGCGACGAAACCCAGGTCCAATAGTGTACCTGATAGATGTTCTGGACGTATTCTAACTGAGTGACTCAGTTACAACATAGACCTTTGCATGAAAGTGTACCAGTTCAGTTTGTCACTCTTCACCATCACACAAAGTTAGAGAAAGAAAAGAAAACCAACCCGACCAGGCAGTCTACGCCTTCTTGCATGACTGGCAAAGATCATCATTTAGAGACTTTAGGCATTGATGTAATGTTTTGATTTAACCATCCCTGATGCTTTTCCGACATAATCCTTTGCCAACTGACATTGCTCGACGAAGATGGTGGTGCTTTGGAATATGGAAAATGCCAGGGATCTAGAGGCAGCTGACTCGAATTTCAAACTAAGTCATCATCAATGTATTTTTATAAAGTTAATGAAATCAATAATTTTAACTTCTTAACTTTAACTTGTTGTAACCAAGATAACACTCATTTTGGCTTCATTCTACTATTATTTCAACAGGCAACAATATACAACTGACCACTCAACTACGATTCACACACCGAGAAAGGCACAGAAGACTGATTAAGAAGACAGAGGCTTACTGCTCCAGAGAAAAAGATAATAAGACCATAGATTACAGCGAATTATATGCTGACTATCACAAGTTATTATAAGACTTTATTTCCCTGGTGAGTTCCAAATATGACGAAATATTCATCCTGGATTCTACCAAAATAATTCCACAGAATAACAGCAGTGTTAATTCTCAGACATCCTCAGCGCATCCAAACTAGGAGCCAACATGTCAGCAGAAGCCGAATCAATCAACGGGTGGAAAATTAGTAATTAATCCTACACAGTTTGTAACCTCATCACAGACTTAACATTGTCAGGTTTAATGAGACTAGAAGTAGTTAGTTCATTTTAATAATTAAACTAGTTCGGTGATGAAAAGTCTCTGATTCAATGTCGAAGTTTAGGTAAGAGAGGGCGATTTCCATTCTAAGATGCTAATATGCCTTTATCAATTCACTAGCTTCGATAGCACATAATTCAGAGATCACACACCCCAATTAACGTTTTAATAGGCTCATCGTTTAAGTATGCGGGAAATAGGAGAATGCTTAGAAATGTCAGATAAATGCAACTAAAACTGATACACAATGGATTTATTGTCAGTGTTATGAGGAAACGCTACATTAGATAACAAGTGGATAGATGACTGATTAACCGTGAATGTGAAATAGGAATGAAACTAAATCTGCGAAGAAATCAAATGAAGTAGGATCAACACATAACAGTAATGAGCAAAATACATTCATGATCGTAACTGTTTGCTTTTCAGAAGTAGTATCATGTGTTTTCAATAAATAATTGTTATTTAAGTGGATTGGATTTATTTTCGAATTTAAGCCGCTAAATTTTGACTACAATATACCCTACTCGGTACTACTTGTTACTTTCAAATATGACAAATCAAAAGATTAACCTTCATTAAACACTAATTATTAGCGGAAGTAGTGCATCGTGATGACGAGCCACCTAAAATGGTGGCCATATTACAAAGTTGACTGATGGAATTCAGTCTGTATCAAACGAAGGACTAGACGCATGAAATTAGTTATTACCTAGTGTCCAGCCAACGTATCAGTTACATTCCTCCAGGAAGTCAGTCGCGAGTCTGAATAGCCCAGCGTTAAGGTCTATGACTCCAGCACTGGGTGATTCGGTCTCGAATCCCAACAAAGACATGAGTTCTTTCAAGACTTCAGATACGCTTTGCTAACGAATGTTAACACACACGAGACCTAGGTTGAAGGTTTCCTGCTGATTGCCTTTCACTACCTAGCAAATTAAATGTTTACAAAATATACGTACATAATACAGTTTAACCTGATCGCTAAAGTTGTATTCAGGAAAAAAATCAACCATTCTGTTACACTGTAACTTGACTAACTAGTTAGAACTCAGTTACTCAAACTGTTCATTTACCAGGTTATGAGTCAGACTGATTCTTTAAGGGATGACGATACTGCCCAGTAGTTGCTCAGGCTGGCAGTTGGATTGGATCCCGTGACATATTTGTTGGCTGGATGTCGAGTGCTAACAAAATTCAAATCTCTCGCTACCAAATAGATTGTGAGGTGTAATTTTATGGTGCATTATTATTCTTTTTGGCTGTTAACCGAACGGTTGGTGGTTCAAGCCCACCCGGGGGCGCTAGGGATTTTATGTGCGTCGGTGGCATAGCGGTTAGAACGCTCGCCGACCATGCACATGGTCCAGGGTTCGACCAACGCACTCCTTTACCTCACTAAGCCAGAAATAATGCTGGTGAAGAGGAAAGGTCGGGCATGAGGCTAGCAACCCCATCCTGTAAAAATAAACACTGCTACAGAAACTTCAAGCCACTAGCTTGAAGCCCTATGTTCCACTGGGGGACGTGAAGGAAAAAAATTATTATTCTTATTTTGTTCCTTCACGTTTCAAGTGGAACCAAGGGCCTAAGACTTCAGCTGTGAAGTTTCAGTAGAACTGGTGTTTTTTATCGGGTGTGGACGCAAACCCCACGAGCGGCGTTTATTCTTTACCAGGCTTGCTGCTGGCTAGGCGAGGTTTAGGAGTGCGTTTCCCGGGAATTGAGCCCTGGGCCACTTGCGTAGTTGGCGAGTTTTCTACCACTGGACTATCGAAGTGAAGAATTTTCTTCTTCTTATTTAATTTAATAGTATCTACAACCGAAAATGTGTTTTACGTGACTTTATTTTTAAATTTAATTGCTTAAATTTCTTAAAATTTCAGTCAAATAACTTGTGAAATTTTTTTGACGGTTGCATGTGTGAAATTTTGTTACAATATATAAGAATCAATAAAACCGGTATATTAAATGTTAGCTTCAACTGTGCATAGCAATTTATGTGAAGCTGCTAAAGCAGATACATTGAAAGAACAGAAAGAAACGGCCATCTTACACTTTCTGAACACATACCGACAAGTCAGAGATTAGGAGGAAGTAAATTATTGGACATAGCAGTACTGAAATGTTTAATTGACACAAATAATTACGATCAAGTGTCCTAAAATTCACAGAGGCAACTGCTACTAAAACGTATTCAAAAATAAACTGTAGTAAGTTTTTCTCTACCTTCGAAAGTAGTCTTTTAACCTTAATTGATTGTATCACCTATTGAATGAAGGTGTTGATTTCTTTTTAATTTTACTTGGTTACGTCCTCGTTTAGTGGTAGTTATGGTTCATTTGTCTGATACCTAATCAAATGAGTTTAACTGACTGTTTTTTCATATCTCATTGACGTATTACCAGTTCTATAATTTAATGTACCTCAGTATCTTGTTGCTACCCTTGCTTTTAATCTTTTTATTCTAGAAACTGAGATAATATTACTCCAATAAGTATTTTATTTTCCTTCACGTTCCCAGTGGAACATAGGGCTTCAACCTAGAGGCTTGAAGTTTCTGTAGCAGTGTTTATTTTACAGGATGAGGTTGCTAGCCTCATGCCCAACCTTTCCTCTTTACCGGCTTTTTTATTACTGGTTTGGCGAGGTAAGGGAGTGCGTTGGTCGGGGATCGAACCCCGGACCATGTGCATGGTCGGCGAGCGTCCTAACCACTGTGCCACCGACGCACCCAATAAGTATAGCAATATTTTATATTTTACTAACTTGACATTTGATTCATCTGTATACCAGGATTATTCTTAGTTATTGCTCCACACTTCATCTCCAGTGAATTTAAGTATATTGAAACTGCAACAGAACTATTCAGTTCTATTATTTAGATTGTATGCAGTTTCCGAGATACGGACGAAATAAACAACCGGTCCAAGTTATACTGTAAAATGTGTTGTTATTGCTTTGTTCAAAAGATTAAATACTCAAAGGGGTTACTTAGCTTAACATCTGGTCTGAGAATACAAAATATTTCTATCATTTATTTATATTAATATCACAGTATAACAAAGTGTTTTGACTTCTTTTAATCTATTCTGTCTTATAAATATTTTGATTATTGGATGAAAGTGGTGAGTAAAGCTGCTTGTGGTTTAAAAGAATGTTCTGCCAAAAACCACAGGGTCTCCTGAAGTTCCTTGCCACCTCTGGATACGAGCCGGCTCATTCCGGCAGACAGCGAGTATAACAACACGCGCAAGATTAAACAGTGTCTGCATGAGGACCTTGAAGTCTGGTGGTCAGAACTTGCATGTCAGATGAAATCAGCAGCTGCATCTGACTAGAGTCGGGAGCTGTTCCAGGTCATCTAAACCACCGGTGGCAAGAGGCGCGGTATCGGTCATGCGGTTTATGAGGCAGATGGCACTTCGATTACCAACCTGGACAGATGCCTGGAATGCTGTACAGAGCACTATGGAGGGCAGTTTGGCTGGCCGACAGCTCTAGCATACAACATCATTAAATACAGTGTTCCACGGCTGGTTAATACCAACTCACCAAGGATGGCGTCGAGATTCCCTTTGAGGAATCGTCTGGAATGTTGAGGAAAATATAAGAATGAGAGAATATTCCACCAGTGTGGACTGGAATCATCATCGTGTCCATCTTTAAAACGGGGCTGCACAAAAGGTGTAACAGTCATAGGGGTATTAGTTTGTTAACAGTTGCGTTTAAAATATCGACTACTGTTTTGCTTGACAAGCTGTGCAGGAAAACCTCAAGAAGAGTGAAGACATACAACCAACTATCACCACTTCTCCAAATCAGCCATACTGACCAACACAGATGTTGATTTCTGAATGATGTAGCATCATAGTGTAACACATCGTTTTAATTTTCTTTTTGAATTTAATTCTGGCTTGTGAATATGCTTTGATTGCTAGATGAATACATTTAGGGAAGTGTTAAATAGCGTTTTTAGTTGGCCACGTTCTCATTTATAGCTGAGCGACTATAGTTAAGTAATGCTGTGATACATATTCTCAAATTAAAAAAATGTTTCTTTCGTTTTCTTAAGTCGCTAACAGTAGCCTATCTTATATAGGAAGGTCAATAATAATTAGCAACCACTTCAAAAAACTGTACGTTTAGTTTATAACCAAAACAACTGTCAATTAAATTATTCTATTAAGAATGTTAACCTGACATTTCCGTTGATTTTCTATGAAGCTATGCAACAATGTAAATAAGCGGTTTCAGCAGGAAATCTATTCTACAATCACTATTAAGTCGGTCAGTTAAGCCCAAATGAAAGTCTTTCATAGTACATACTGACACTGTAAGGAATTTAAAATCTTACTGATCATAATAAGGAGAAAACTTAATAGGCAATAGTGAAACAAAACCACTTACTTTGACTGTATCAATACCTTTAGTTACTGACCAAGAAGAAGTGATATAGTCGATAACACGTTCGCCTAGTTCTCTTGGTACTTCATGGATTTTCAAAAAGTCTTTAACTCCCTTCATCATTTCATTGTATCTTGTACGAGTGGCGTACATTTGTTGTACAATAGTTGTTACATTTCCAAATATTGTTGCATATACTAAGGCTAAAAGGATAAATGATCAATAACAAAAACAACTTGGGTAAATAAAAAGGGAATTCACAATTTGCAATTTATATAGTTCGAGGAAGTGAAATTTCACCCCAGGTTACTTCAGAAACAAAAATTGTTCAGATCGCACTATATACTACTGATTGGTTGAGATGAGTGGTAGTATACCACTCACATCAGCCAGAAAGTGGTGTTCAGATCATTCGATGTCGCTACATGCACTACTGTTTGATGTGAGTGGCATAAAGTTGCTTTATCTCAATCAATCGTAGTATAGAGACTTATGTAAATAAAAAGTATTTCCGGGATACTTGTAGGAAACTAATGGTTTCTAGTGGAAGAGTTTCAACGAAAACGTTTGATTACACAGCAAAAACTAAGCGGCACCTGGAACTTGACATAACCGTTTCAATATGGAGTATCTGTAAATACCATCTTGTGAATACATTGAATTCTCCAGAAATCCTTTCTCGTCGTATTTCCGAACATCACCCTGCGTGGTTAAGTAAAGGATAAACAAAATCCATTCATAGAGCTATTCTATCTTATCTTATGGATACAGAACACAAGATTGATGTAAACAAGGTTTTCAAAGTCATCTAGCGCATACAAATAAATCTTAACTTCGCCTTAAGAGTTCAACTACTACATACTGCTGAGGCTGTTGGGATCCACATTAAGAAGCCTAACTTATGTGCCCTAAAGAAGTTGGTTCAGACATTGTTCTTACCTTGGCCATCTAGGTTCTAATGATCCTACGTATTTTGTGGAAATTTCCTTAATTTTAGTTGATATTCTATTATTATTATAATTTATTCATCTTCAATGAACTGTAATTCCATTGATCTTACTTAACAAATCGATATTATTTAATAAACACCAATACTGTTATTGACTACTATTCTAGAATATTCTTTGTATATATATATATATATATATATAATTGGACAGCCAGAAGAGGAAATTATCGAAAAGGATATTCTTTGCTCAATTATTTTTTTTCAAAAGCAGACCAGTTGGATCATCACGATGATCATCCGTTTCGTGGTTTCTGAGGTTGTATTATTCGGACATCAATGTGTCTATCTTGTAGGCTTCAACGAATAAAAGGCTCTTGAGTTTAAGGGAAAATATATTTGAAGAAGAGAAGATCGTTCAGCAAAACCTCAAGCTGTAAACAGCCTGTTAATTAGCAACATGTCAAACTGTTTCCAAGTAATTCTTCATAAAATTTCACTTTTAGTTAGGAACTAAGGTCGTTGGAAGATATTACGTAATTATAAATAAATAATCTCATATGAATATGACAGTTTTAAAACCGAATGATATGATTTGCAGTTCAGAAATACAAAAATATAAAGGAAAGTTAGTTAGAAATATTATAAAAACGGAAATACATATTATGACAATAATAACACGGTGAAAAGTAGCCAAGATTAGATTTAAAGTATTTGCATGAATTAACTCCACTGTGAGTCCATAGACTCGATCAACGTTTCACAGTGGGGGTTTAGTTTTTAAAATATGAAATATTAAAGCCTCCACAATTTTAATAAGCTTAATTAGTGTATATCTAAGTAAGACAAGGTTGCCTACTATCATCAGTGGTATTCCTGATTGTAGTGGACTGGATTATGCGGCACACCATGCGTGGGGAGCGAGAAGACAGAAGTACGTTCAGTCGATAAGAAGACTTGAGAAGATCTGAAGTTAGCCGATGATTTATGGCTAATGTCACACAAAGTCAAAGACTTACAGGCGAAAGTCAACGTATCCACAGAAGAAGCAGAGAATAAAGGACTTCAAGTGAACACAGAGAAGACAAAGTTGCTGAGGATAACCAACCAACTACAATAACCAGCACCAATCACTGTTAGCGGGAGAAATTTGAAAGAGGTTACTTCCTTTACTGATCTAGGAAGCATCGTTTCAACTATAGGCAGTACAAATAAGGATGCCAAAGTGAGGATCGGAATGGCTAGGTAGACATTTACCACACTGAAATCAGTTTGGTAACCTTCTGCACTCAGCATAAAGCACAAGATTTGGATTTCAAACACGAATGTTAAATTACTTCTTCTATAAGGGTCAGAAACTTGGTGAGTCACTAAAAGCATTTCTGACAGGCTGTAGATGTCTGTCAACAACTGACTTCGCTCCATGCTGAAGATCTGGTGACCAGAAAGAGTTAACAAAACAAAGAGCTCTGAAAATACAACAACAAAAGACCTTTTACTCAACAAATATTCCGAAGAAATTGAAAATAGATTGGTTATATGCCAAGGGGACCTTTGAGTGACGTCGTGTGTCCTCGACTGGAACCCGAATGAAGAACGTCGAGTTAGGCGTCCTAAGGTAACGTGGAGAGATGACTTTAGGAGGCGATGAGAGCTTATGAGCAGTCGAGGAGCAAGCTGAAGTAAATTGCAGAGAACAGAACAAAACGTAGATGTGTTGTTGAAGCCGTATGTTCCACTCTGAGTTGATGAAATCGCAATGCGAAGGTAATAACGGTTATTTGTCATTAGCTGTAGGTAAAAATTTAGCCATTTGAAAGGTTTCTCTTAATGAAAAAGATAGGTGATCTCTTAACACCTCAGCTAGTCAATCGTCACTGAAATAATGATTCAAGAGTAACTGTTTTGGAACATGTGTCGTATACTATTTATCTGGTCGCAGCTTTTTATGTTTACAAACAGAAATTTCATCATAGACCTTCGCAGTCAGAAAATTCTTAACTTAATGTTTTCATCGTTAGCGTTGTCATTACTATGGATATTACAAGTTCTATCACATAGAGAAGAGACTGACACTCATATAGTATTAAAAGACACCTGTAAAGTGTTGTCCCATTCATGTGTCTTTTACACGAATGGATTTTTTCAGTGTTTTGTTAGTTACGCGTCTAAAGTTTTGAATTTTATATGTTTTTTTGAGAAGATTCAATTGTAGATTGTACTAAATGAGCCACATACACTCAGTTTTACAATCTCAGTCAAGAGATCCTAAATTATCTGTCACTATCAAAGGAGCATTTTAATTTTTAATGTAGCGTTTTCAAAAACTTCTGTCGCGAAATATACTACTAAGAAAAACTATACCACTACTGTTCTTACAAATTTATTCAAACACTGTAGTGAATAAATACCTCAAACTTCCGAAAAATGAGATTTAAGCATACTAATTAAACTATTATAGCTAAGAATTAAAGAAATTAACAATAGATAAAACCATGGGATTGCCTTCCTTTAGATTTGGTTTTAGAATTTCCTTTTGGAATGGGATTAAAATCATATTTCGTGAATACATTGTCTTTATCTGGCTTCTTTAAATTTTTCACGCGTAATATTAATCTGTTTCTACATCCTTTAATTTATTACTGCTACCACTAGTCAAGCCGAAGTAATATGCCGTTCGTCCGATTACATTCGTCGGAGTATGAATACTTTTCTCAACTGTCAAGTCTAAATATGACATATTTTTTCATCCTTTTGCGTTCCGAATGGAACCTAGGTCCTCAAGCTTGAGCTTTAAAGTTTCATTAGTGGTGGTGCTGCTTTTTACGTCCAGCTGTCCCTCATTATCAGGCTAACTATTAGCTAAAGGGGGTTTAGGAGTGCAGGAATGCCGGGAATCGAACTCGGGCCACGAGAGTGATTGACCAGCATTCCGCTTTTAAGTCACCGACACATCACCTAAGTATTTTGTTTTCCTTCACGTTCCCCAGTGGAACATACGGCTTCAAGCTAGTGGCTTGAAGTTTCTGTAGCAGTGGTGCTTATTTTTACAGGATGGGGTTGCTAGCCTCATGCCCAACCTTTCCACTTTACCAGCTTTATTTCTGGCTTAGCGAGGTAAAGGAGTGCGTTGGTCGGGGATCGAACCATGAGCATGGTCGGCGAGCGTCTTAACCGCTATGCCACCGACGCCACCTAAGTATTTAATCTCCATTTATTCAGACTGTTGTAACTGCGGTGAAACGATGACCTGGATACCAGTTGGTTTTCGTAGCTCAGCTGGGGTGGGGCACTGTAGCGGAAATTCGGAGGCTGTTCGTTGGAATCCTCCTGCTACCGCCCAGATGTGGTTTTCACAGTCAATCGTAATCCATTACATCAGTAACATTGTACCAATTCAAACCAATCACAAAAAGTCTCACTATTAATCAAATTTGTAAATTTACTGAAATCTGAGCATCTATGAGATGTAATAGCGGGAAATTGGAAGCCTCTCAAGAACTTGGCAGGCATAATTTTTAGAATGCTGTAGGCAGCCTTTAATGTTTGTAAACTTCTGAAAACTATGACTTGACAGGTAGGTAATATGCTCATAAAGCGTAGTTTAACACAAAACTAGGCTAAATTTAATTACAAGTTAAAATCAGTAGGTGGAAAGCCTACTCATTTTAACTAAAGCTATGTCACATATGAAAATTCATTGTCATTTGGGCAATATTTTTCATTTTTATATATTACAATTTTGAAATAATGAACTTTGATGTTGGGTATGAATTTAGGGATTATAGAAATAAATTTGACTGTTTAAATCTTTCACTGTGCTTTTTTTCTGTTTCAAACAATCATATGACTCAGTGTCAAAATGAAATTAAAATAGAAAGTAACAATGAAGTTGTTAAAAAAATCATTGACACACTGATGATGACTTTATGTGATAAAATGTGGACATTTTCCCTTTTCCGTTTTGAATTGAATATAGAAGTTTCAGTAGTAGTAGTGTTATTTTTACAGGGTTTGATTGCCAGACTCACACCCAACCTCCCCACTCCTCTGGATCTACTACCGGCTGGTAAACTAGGAGAGTTTTAGAAGTACAACAGCCGGGAATTGAACCATGACCTCCCTCATGGCAAGGGATTATTCAGTCACTAAAGCGCTGACCGTCCGCCCCTCCTTAGTCGACCTGGATAACCCGTCCTCCGACACATCATCCATATTGGCGCCATGCTTAGTGCGGACGCCCGATCAACATGAGCACCCATATGGAAGAACTCCCGGTCCTGCGAAATCCCGCACCCTAGCCTCCAAGTAGCTAGATTACAGGCGCATGCCACCACAACTCGGGTCGGTGGCACAGAGGTAGGATGCTCGCCAAACACGCCTCATGTGGTTCGGGGCTCGATCCCCGGCCGACGCACTCGTTTACCTCTCTAAGCCACTAATAAGACTAACAAAGAGGGAAGTTTGAGCATGAGGCTAGCAAACCCATCCCGTAAAAATAAGCACCACTGCTACCGAAACTTCAAGCCTCTAGCTTGAAGCCGTATATTTCACTGGAAAGTAAAGGAATTAAAAAAGCACTGACTGACAAACAAGAATAAAATGCGATCAAAACGGCCGTCCGGTGTTCAGATAACTATGACCTGGCTAGCAAATACTACTGGTTGATGTGTGCGGTAGACAGCTATTCATCTCGACCAATCAACAGAATACAGTTTTATGCATCTACGCTTGGTTTCTTGATTCCCATATATGGTATCAAGCAGATCAAATATTGTGATTTGAATAAACATGATTTCTAAGCGAAACTATTATGAAATAATTACCTAGAACTGTGTAAATTGCTGAGAACTAACTAATTTACAAATTGTGAATTTGATTTACGTAATACTATTTATTTTCTGAGGCTTGTCTCACCCCTACATTTTTTGAACTTACTGTACTTTTCCCATTTCCTTTTGTTACCTGTTTTCCTTTCGCCTTTTCCATAACTTGGAAGTACGACAATTTAAATGAATCATTTTGGTGCCAGGATTTGCGTTAATACCTAACACCACGCAAATAAATGAAACTGGCGACAGTAGTTTTTAAAGAGGCATTGTTTTTTTTAACCGTCTAATTGATTAAAGTTGTAAAACGTAACGATATAAAACAGTTTATTTTTCTTATATGCAGTTTTTTGCTTTATAGTCATCAGTGTCTAAAATAAAACAATTGAGCGAAATTTTTTTAAAGTGTTATTTTGTAGAAATTTGGTCGATTTCAAGCTTGATCGCAGATTGATATCATTTAGAGAACTATTGAGAGTCAGTGGAATACTGTACAGCTGTTTTTTGTAGTCTGGGACTGTTCAGCACTAAGCATTCATAGCCTGACCGGCTGTCGAATGCAGAGCCTTCGAGTTATAAGATAAGCTCCTTGACCACTTAACCAGTGAGACGGAATTCTGTGACCAACCGATGAACTATAACTGCTGACAATTCGTGATATATAGTGCCACCGCCGGCCAATTTCTTCAGGGGGTATTTGTCCTCACGCCCGACCTGGTAGGACCCACTGAGCACGACATCTTAATAGAACTCCACGTAAATTCACCTTTTAGTCAGTCACTAGGGAGCATCAGATTAGGCTGATATACAAAATGATCTACATCAAAGATAAAAGGGTTACATCTAATAAGGTACCTGATAAAAAGTCTCTACATATCGTAGACTGCCTTAAATCAGAACAATAGTTGAATTAGAGTGAAGGGCTTTCTCTGGGGAAGGGAAAATGTTCCAAAATAATTGGATTTCAATTAAAATCTTATCCAAAAAGTTTGTTTTTTAAAATACCTTGACTTAGATAATCTTGACTAGTCAACTAGTTGTGATTAGGACAGATTTACTAATGGCATCCTCTGAAGATCAGCACCGCTATCTTCTAGCAGCATCGATTCTAGTTCTGAATCACTGAAGAAATAAATCGATTTCTATGTTACACAAAGTAATTTTGAAATTACTGGCCGGTTTTTGTTTTAATGCTATTACTCAGTTTAAACAGTCATTTATACCTCAGGTTATAGTCAGAATAGGTTAGTGCAGAAGGATTCATACGAATTTTTTACGGTATTAACCCATTACTGTAATTCAGTGAGGTGAACAGTAAATGACTTTTAGGATGAAATCTCCGATTTCTGCAAAACTCAGCTTTCCGAGCCGAACAAACAGAAATAGTAGGGCGGTCATCATTCATTCTATGTTCATATATGTGCTGAATACATTTTCACAAAAGAGCTGGTATCAGAATTATGTTTCAAATACCCTCAGAGTTTTTAGAGACTCAGAATGTGCTTGTTACTGGACAACTTCATCAGAATTACTCGGATTTTATAAGTAACATAACATTTGACCATGTATTTCGATTTAAAATGGAATCCCACTAACGCTTCTGAAGAATCTGTGGATTAGGATAGTGAGAAGCTTTGGAAAACATCTTGTTTTCGTTTTCCCAAATCATTAATACCAATAAATTATTTAAACAATGATTCAGTCAGTCTCAGTGCTGAAATCACCAGACATGTTTATACATACATGTAATGAATATGCATATATATTAAAAATGGATTTTGGTGTTACAGTAGTGGTCTTGAGTGTGGTTGATGATGACATGTTGATGCATGAAATATCGTAGGAATAATGATGCTATTTCAGTGGAACATAGGGGTCGAAGCCTTGAAGTTTCATTAGTAGTGTTGTTACCAGAATCACGCCCAATCTTAACCCTGTCTCGTCAATACTATCAGTTAGCAAGCTAGGCAAGGTTTAGGAGTGTGTCGACTAGTAATTGAAACCAGACCATATGCGTGATTGGCAAGCGATCTATAATTGAACCAATGGCACCCTTGGCCACTAATAATCATAACTGCCAACCGTGATCATTTCAATGCATTACAATTGTTTTATTTTACTGTACATCCAAGGCTTACTCACATAATTTAGGTTTTGAGGATATAATACCATCTTTCTCTTCGAGTGCATGAGCAGCCAGGTATAAAAATCCTACTAGGATTCTGTATGCTGTGTTAACTGTCATAACTTTTAACATGGTTGTATGTACCGAATGCAGTACACGTTTTTTTATAACTCAGCTAAGATCAACTGGAACCAATAAATCGCTAGAATGTTTGTTCCCAGTAATGCAGTTAAAAAACAACTAATGAGAGATGATAATATTTTGTAGTTTTGCCAAGACGAGCATTTCTGATGATATTTTATTTTTATTTTTGATTACAGCTTGATGCCACACCGTATTTTCAGTACAAGTATGGAATTTTCAGCATGGATATCGGTAGCCCAAATTTTTCAGGCCAACCATAGATATCGGGTGTGCGTCGGCAGGGTATCGAACCCCGGACCATGTGCATGGTCGGCGAGAGTCCTAACCACTGTCGAGGCCAATGGTTCGAATTTACAATATTCATCCTAGATTATTTACATCAAACAATGAATTGCATCCCTTGTGTAGTCTGAACTAATTAAACGATTAAACTAAGTCATCATTAGTGTCTTTATATGATGTATGATATGATTTAAGTATTATCAAGCGTTTTTATTGTCAACCACGCTACTCATATAATGGTTGTAAGGGAAACTGCGAAAGGATATCATCTGATCCTAACTTTATTCTGGACGCCTTATCAAGAGGATAAATTGTTTCAAATCAGTGAGTTTGTTTATTCTCAGGGTTGTTAATTTTTGTTTTCAGCCTCAAATGTTTCCCAAAAAGATGGAATTCTTGATTACCTATGGTTTTTCAGGCTATTTAGCACTTTTCTAGATCATATATAATAAATAGAACAAACATTACTCTTTCATCGCTACCCATGAAAAGACACATTCATTTGCATCTCTTGTTTAGCAACAAATAAACATAACTTTTATACGATGTAATCTATTTTGATTAGAGACAATAACTAGGCTAGAACTCTAACCAGGAACCTCCAAATCGCTACCCTGTGGTGCATGTTTTTTTAGAAACGTTTTCATTCCTTTGCTTTTCTAGTGGAACACAGTGGTAGTTATTTTGGAGGTAGGATTTCTAACCTCATGCTAGACCTTCCACCTTTTCAGGGCTTAATGAAAGGTAAGCGAGGCTGCAGAGTGTATCAGCAGGGAATCGAGCCCCAGTGAGCATTCTTCCACTAAAATACCGACGCACTTTTGCGTGCACTGACCATAAACACTTAAAAACTGCATATGCTTCTTTTTAAAGCTACAATGAAGACATCAATAATTCTCAATGATAATACACCGCTGCAGATCAACTCACAAACATACATTCATGATAAGGCTCATTCACTCACCTCCTATAAGCATACAACAAATTGATAACAATTTTTCACTTTCAGTAAAAGCTGCTACATTACCAAATCCAATTGTTGTAAGTAATGATAAACTAAAGTAGAGTGCTGTTAAATATGCTGCCCATTTATCTCTTGAATTCTGTAATGGTAAAGTTGATGATGGTGATAACATATAAACACTTTGTTGATGATTTTGTCTCACCAGTTGTAAATTAAGCGTTTTATTCTGAATTAATAGTTTATTTACACATGTTTTATTCATTGAACAATTAGTAAAATTAGTAGATTGTAAAAAATAATTTTGGTTCTGTGTAGATGAAGATGGAGTTTGTGAATTATGTACAGTTGAATCATGTTGATTGATTAATAAGTGGGTTTTATTCAACTGTACTGTAGACACTGTGATATCACGATCATATAAGGAAAATTCTTCCCAATTCTGTGGTTTTAATGAATCATTATATATTCTTGGTATCCAACCATAATATACTTTATTTTCTAAATCATATACACCAACAGCATACCATGCACAAGCAAACCAATGTGCTAATAGAAAAAAGCATAAAATCATAAGAAGTAATAAAGTGGAAACATATTCCAAATATTGATCAATTCTTCTAGCTGCACGTCCTATTCGTAATAATCGAACTATGCGCAGTGCATCCATTAAATAATAAACATCCTAAAAAAAAAGAGAAAAGAGAAAGAACATGGAATAATTACTACTTAGGCACAATTGTAACATGGAATTAAATAATGAATTTCTCGTCCTACTTTTGGAAATAACAACTCTTTGTCACTGTGGATATTGATGTACCTATTTCATATAAAATGTAAAATGCATGAAGATGGGTGGTTATTCAAATTCAAGTGTTGGTTTGCAGGAATCTGTTTGATTGGTTACAGGATTTCATCGTGAGCTGAAATCAGTTAGAGGATCATTGGAAAACCCGGCAGTAGTGAACAGCTGTTTCATCCTAGTTTGGGACTATGCATCAGTACACACCCACTGGAGATCAAACCCAGGACCTTCTGGTTACAAGGCAAGGTCGTAGACCATTAAGCCACTGAGACCCTAGCCAATGACCCATTGTGGGAGTGTGATACAGACAATGGATTCCAACGGAATATTATTCTCACATTAAGAATCATTGTATTTGTTTGTGTTATCGTCTGAATACTCTTCCCACAGTTCAATACTGCATTAGCAACAGAACACTATATTAGAACAAGACATATAAGCGAACAATATTGCTTTCAATTAGATCTTCTTCAGGCTTTACTCTAATTTACATAGACTTATATATAAAATTTTAACCAATGACGGTGATTTTGGGAATCAAATAATAATAATGTGGTAAATGTTTTGAACGAAATTAATAACGATGATTATAATGATAACAAAATATTGAGCAGAAGAGAGGATGGTTCACTTAAGAGAGATGTCTATAGAAAACCTACATCTGTAGGACAATATACACATTTCCTCAGTTTTGTACCAATCCGATATAAAATCAATTTGGTCAGATGCCTCACGAATAGAGCAAGACGTATCTGTACAGATGACTCCCTAGAAAATGAGCTAGGATACATCCAAAATACGCTGGTCCAAATGGGTTATCCTAGTAGATTTGTAAGGAGAAGCATGAATACCAGATACAATAAAAAAAAAACTGACTACAGTTAAAAAGAAAGAACTGTTCATGAAACTGCAATCTAATGGGGACGTGGCTAACGAAGTCTTACATCTGAGATTATCGAGAGCAATAAAACGGACTTATACTGCCGCCACTCTTTGTTTGTCATTTTCCAGCCGACCAATTTTGATTGCTCAAGTGAAAGATAAGCTACCTAGTTGTGCCACTTCGATGTGTATCTATAAATTTAGTTGCTCCTGCGGAGAAAGCTATATAGAGCGAACAACTAGACAGCTTAACAAACGCATTAATGAGCATCTTCCTTCATGGTTCGGAAAAGGTCAAATAAAATCCATACGAAGTTCTATTTTGCCTCATTTGATTGATAGCGGTCACCAAGTAGACAAAAATAGTGCCTTTAAAGTTATCTGTCGTATTCCATCGAGTCTTTCGAACGGAATCAGAACCCATCTTTTACACCTAGCCGAAGCTATGGGAATTCGAGAGAACAATCCTAGTCTTTGCATACAAAAGAAGTTTGTTCTACCTTTGTCTCTCCCTTGGCCTAGGTGAATTCTATTCAAAACCCTCCCACCCTTTCTTATTTTCCACCTCCTTCGTACTTTTATAATATTTATTTAAACTCTGATTATCGTTCCACTTCACCTTTAAAGATTTGACCTAATTTATTTATTTATTGAATTGTCTACATATACACATATATACATGTACTATCTTTGTTTTTCTTATCACCTGCATAAACCTTATTATCAATATTTTGTTATCATTATAATCATCGTTATTAATTTCGTTCAAAACATTTACCACATTATTATTATTTGATTCCCAAAATCACCGTCATTGGTTAAAGTTTTATATATAAGTCTATGTAAATTAGAGTAAAGCCTGAAGAAGATCTAATTGAAAGCAATATTGTTCGCTTATATGTCTTGTTCTAATATTATAAATGTAAATATTTAAAGAACACTTTATATATATATGTATAGTGTGCGTCGGTGACACAGTAGTTAGCATTCTCGCCAACCATACACATGGTCCGGGGTTCGATCCCATGCTGACGCACACCCGATATCTATGGTCGGCCTGCAAATTTGGCTACGATATCTGTAAAAATAATAACATTCTGTTTTTTGCTAGAGTCAGAATACTATTACCGCAGTTTAGTTGTGCGGTAACAACAGAATGCTACGTATATTTGAACATTTTATTTCATGTTGTTTTATTTAAACCAAAATCACACGCTCAGTGATTGGTTAAAGAATATAAACTGTATAGATATAAACAGCTATTTAATCACTTGAAAATATACCTTGGATCCGTGTCTTGCCTTCTGCTGTTACACCATGAATTCCAACTTCTGCCAATTCACGACATAGCGCGGCCACTAGCGAATGTCATCCGTGGCGAGTATTTATCCTCACACCTGACCTGCTGTATCCCACTGGTCACCACTTCCTACTAGAACCACAGGTAACTAACTACTTATCTGAATAGGGCCAGTCACTAGGGAACATCAGGTTGATATTCAAGTGATTGTTTGTAGGGAGTTGATTGGTTTCGGGATTTCATCATGAACTTGCATGGACTGAACCCAGAATCTCAGTGGGTGAGTAATGATGAAGAGTCCTAAACTTAGACTTAACTGCTGTCCAGTTCTTCCAAGTTTTCCAATGGTCCTCTAAAAGATGTCAGTTCTTGATGAAATGTTGAAACATTAGTAATAAATGGATAACTCCTAACCTAATTTGTTGCTCATAATCATATCAATATATGCATACAGCTTGGTAGTGTGCGTTATATAGTCGTGTTCTGTGTCGTTTTTTATAGTAATTTTCCATAAATTCGGCATAGACAGTGCGTCACTCTGATCATACCTGCTTGGTGTTGTTGCTTAGGTTAACAAAGATTCAATGATTAACCTCTTCATCCACCTAAATGTATTACTTTTTAGTACTTCCACCCCTTCCCATTCTATTGTGTGATTACATGAAAGTGAATGCAATGCAATGGTTGAGTTTTTTCTAGGTTATTTAACTTATCAGCGTCAGTCATTACACGGTACTTGGTAAATTATATTATTTTTCTTAATTAGATCTGTCAGGTCTTTAACCCTATAAAGTTTGTCTCTGAGTGAGTTGGTTCGCTTAAATGTCACCCTAATTCCAGCCTTATTAAGAGTCCTAGGTAAGCCTACTGATGGTCTTTCTTTACGCAGCAGTAATATTGAGGCTTTGAATAACTTACTGTTTTTATTATTTTCTCTACTGGTCATAAGAAAGATAAAATTATTCATGAAAATAATTAATTAATTTGAAAATTGTGAATTTCATTTATGGTATTACCAATGTGCCCAAATAAATAACCAGAAATCATGTGGTTTGAACTGATTCAGCTCACTGAGCTGGGTGAAACTAGGTACGCCACTGATGGGCTCAGCTCTAAAGGAGAGAAACGGTCGTCGAGTGTTTAGATCCCTTCGATCTGGCTATTAAGCACAACTGGTTGATGGAAGTAGTATACACGTTATCAAGTTGTGTGAATATAATGGTGTGATTATAAGCGATAAATTGAGCTTGAAATGTTATCCACTTATTGATGCTGTATCAGTGTGTCACATTAGATAAACCTATTTAATGTCCAAATTCTACTCTTACAGTAGTGTTTTCATTCCTTTACGTTTCCAGAGGAACATAGGGCTTCAAGGTAGTGCTTTGAAGTTTCGATGACAGTGATGTTAGTTTATTACGGGATGGGGTTGCTAGCCTCATGCCCAACCTTCCCCCCTATTGCTGGCTTAGTGAGGTAAAGGAGTGTTTCAGCAAGGGGTTAAACCCCGAACCACCTGGGTGGTTGGCGAGCATTCTGCCTCTGTTCCACCAATGCACACTCTTACAGTAGTGGGGACTAATCAAAATGTAACAAAAAATGTATAGAGGTTGACATATTTGTACCACGGTTGAGGAATAATTAAGATTTATTTTGGAAATAAGCTATTTTCAGTGACCCGGAAAATGAGGTCTCATGAAATTAAATACAGGCATTAATGATTATAGTAGTAACAATAATATCAATGATATTAACAGTATATGTGTTTGTTTAAGTCAGTTATGTGTTTCCCGTCGATTGATCATACTGGACAAAAATGTTCGGTCCAAGTGGCCCAGTAGATAACGCTTTGGCGTTTGAAACGGTGGATGTTGGCTTCTATTCTCAGTGAGAATACGAACACTCACTGGGGACTACAGGTGCATTGAACTGACGAGCCCCACATAGAACGAAGTGGGTATCCTGGATTACACTGCTAGTTACCATCCACCAAACAAAAGTCTATGTTAGTTGACACAAGTGGTCATAAGAATAATGAAAAATAGTATGATAATATTAACATTTCAGTAATTAAACTATGTCAAATCAGAAGTACTGTTACACTAAAATTTGAAGCGGATAGATAATCAAAGTTTATATAAGCATGGAAAAGTAGTGAAGTATAAGAGGTGGATGTGTGAGAAAATGCAATTAGTTTTTTAAATCTGTTCAGGCTAGAGGGGACACAGTGGCAAGACAAACGCATTTTGGCCTAGGGTTATACTCTTAAGATCCCATAGCTTCCGCTATGTGAAAGACGAGTTCGAAAAATTCGATGGAATATGACGAATTACCATAAATAGGCTTTTTGTGTCCTCTTGATATCACCAGTCTATCTAAAGTAGATATTACTGAGTATGAAATGTGTCCATGGTAAATCTTAGACGGAATTCCGTGAAGATAATAACTGGAATCGTGACATCAGCCTGCTTTTTCAGTATATGTTAACACATGGATTCTACTGTCTTCATTGGTGGTACATTGGTAAATAATGACATCGACATCATGTGCTTCTCATATGCTCCAAATCCTCTAATTTGAAACATATTCAAAGACATTCTTCACATAGTGGTTTGCTACTTGTTTGTGTAAGGCTTGTAGCGTTCTGACTAGTCATTTTTAGACAGAATTAGATATGTCCGAAATTAGGCGAACAGGGAACCCTAGTTAATGTACTGTAGGCTGACCATACTTGTTGCTTAGAGTGGGTTTAGGAAAGTCACAGAGAACATTTCTCTTCGTTTATGGTTCTTAATAGCGTATATCCGCTGTCTCTCCGATTTTCCATTTAATGAACAGACACAACTAAGTTCTGCTACAAATGGAACAACCTACTATCGCCGATATGTTGATGACACATTTGTTGTTTGCTAAGACATGGATCACGCATCGGCATTATATGATCACCTAAATGAGATCCATCCAAATATCAAGTTCACCATGGAATATGAACATAAAAATGAGTTCAGTTTCCTGGATCTAAATGTAAAAAGAACAAACGAAGGCATGATTGAAAAGTCCATCTATAGAAAAGAAACCTGGACTGGACAATATCTTCACTATAACAGCTTTTGTTCCATAAGCTATAAACGTGGATTAGTGAGGACTTTGTATGACAGAGCCAGGAAGCTATGTTCACCAAACAAGGTCGAAGAAGAACTAGATTTCGTCGAGAAATGCCCGAGGGAAAATGGATAGATAAGAAAGAAAAGAATCCAACAGTAGAAAAGAAAAGTGTTTATTTGTCTCCCATTCAAAGGAGATGCAGTGTCACAAAAGATTGACAGATGACTGAAAGGAGCAATAAATAGAAGCTTCCCGGAAGCAAAACTCATAACAGTATACAACACCACTCCTTCTATAATCCACTCAACACTGGATAAATACCCTGCTGATGTCACCTCCAACTGCGTTTATGAATTTACGTGCACTTGCGGGAGTGAGTACATTGGAAGGACAGAAAGAAGGGCTTTTATTCGGTTTTCTGAACATATTCCAAGAAACCTATGACTGAAAGGAAGCAAGTATTCTCAGAGTGCAATTATCAGACATATTGTTGATAGCTCTCACTCCCTTGGTAGCTGAATTTTGATTTTGATTACAATAATTAGTCATCTAATTCAGTGATCGCAACTCAATGAACAAATCTTAATCTCATAAACTGTAATTGTTTTTTTGGAGTTGCTATGTGAACCTACAAGCTAACACTGTTTCTGTTAGTCAATTTTTCTGTTTTCTGTATTGCCCCTCCACCCTCTTTTCAACTTTGAAAGTGTATAAATTGATGATGAAAACTTAAACTAAAAATTGTAATGCTTTCATTCTTTTTTGGATGCGTCAATTTTATCTCTTCTCTACTACTACTCAAACATTAAAGTATGTTATTATCATTTATATAACCATTGTAATTTCAGGTAGCCTGCAACTGATGAGAACCTGTGAAATAGAATGATATCATTTTATACTGCAAATTTCGTCTTCCTTTCTTAACCGAAATGTATCAAGGAAACCAGTTGTATAAATCTACTGTGTTGAGAATGTTGTTTCATGGCTCAGAAGATAGCTCATTTTGTCTATGTATTAATATTTATTCACTGATACTACACCCACTTCTTTACCTGGCTTACTTATTATAACAATTACATACTGTTCAATTAACACAGTTTTAGTAAAATAATTATTTTTACTACTGACAGTTGTTGTCAGTTAGCATAGTTTTAAACCTAGCAGGTTAATCGTCTGGTTGATGATTTACACACTGAACTTTTGAACTGTACTTTTTATAACCGATAAAAGTTGTCGCTAGTGAAAAAGTGTACAATGTTCAGTAGCCGTAGATAAGAAGAGTAACTGCACTTGAAACTCTGCCATCTAAAATAACCAATGCCAGTCTAATGATGCCCAGATTATCTTAAGTGTAGCATTTGTACCAAGTTTTCACCAGAAAATATATCTGTAAGGTTGAGTCACTATCACTGTAAACAGTATGGATATTCGTATGAGGAAAAACAGATTTGTGGCTTCGTCTCTTCTATCTCTAAATTGGTATAAGAGATAAGGAATTAATGATGAGTTAAGTTAATTGAACAATGAAACCTTAGACTAGATAAATGTGGAATAAGCAAAACGTCTGTGAAAAAAAACTTACTGTGTTATTTACAGGCCAACAGTATTTTAATATTTCATACGGAAGACAAGCCAATAGGTCTAGAGTAAACCAACCACTTAGATAATTCATTCGAATAACTGGTGGATCAGCAACAACTTCACCTCCTGCTCCAACAAATGATGTATGGAAATTTAATACGATATCTACACCGAATATAATGTCTATAATTGCATCTGTTATTGTTAAAATTTCAAGAGTTGTTGGATGCAACCAATCCTTTTCATTATTTGACTGTAAAGATAATGGATCCGCAGAAGGAATCCATGCTGGTCGAGGGATAACTGCCACTCTCAGTGGGACAATAATAGCTGTATAACCAGTTAACAGTAGAATAGTCCAATCCCATACAATTCGAAAGACTGAGTAGTGAAGTAATACATGTTTTGGAGGACACGGAGGCTCTGGGCGGTAGCGTGGAACAGATTCAGGTGCTGACCACTGATTACTGAAAAGATCCTCAACATCACCGTTTATATTTGTACCCTGAAATAGAAATAAAAACCAGTAATGAGGATTTAAAAAATATTTGGTGAATGTTAATTTTTGATTTGACACTAGTAACTAGTGTGATGCGTCTAGTCCTCTCTTTGGTGCAGACTGAATTCTATCAGCCCGAATAGCTCAGTGGTAACGTCTCTGACTGCAGCACTGGGTGACGCGGGTTCGAATCTCAGAAGGGACATCAGTTCCTTCAAGGTTGCAGATACGCCTTGCTGATGAGTGCCAACTAGCACGAAACCAAGGTCTAAGGCTTCCTGCCGATTGCCTTCAACCATCTAATATGTTAATTTTTATCTTGATTGATTATAAAAATATCACTATGCAGTTTTACAACACCTTATGTGCTGCTGTATACTTCTGTGTTAAATATTTTTCATTAGCGAAAGTAGCATAATTACAGAGACATCAGCTGAATGTTGAATACAGCCTTGAAAGGCAAATATCTCGAAGACCTGCCTTTACTGATACAGCCTGTACATTATTGGTTTTAATGGACAGTGGTATGCATATTTTCATCACTGGTAAACAAAGACAAATATAAATGTATACAAAAGAAGATAATCAATAGGGTCCACCAAGTCAATCAAGAGGACAGTTCCATGTCTGTGACATTTGCTGGCAGTTTGACAAAACACCCGAACTGACGGAAGTTGAGATTCACAGGCTATTGGTTCTGCTTCCAGTAGCTGAAAAGCTTATGGACTCATCTTTTAGCTGGAAGATCTTAGCTTCGAACCCCAGTAGGTGAGTACTGATGAAGAGCCCCAAACTATGATGAAACAGATGTCCAGTACTCTCCGCTTTTAAATCATTCCCTAACTGATGTTTGATCATGATCAAATCTGTAGCTAATCAAATCCTTGCAAACCAACGCTAGATGAATTCCTGTTATATAGCATCTTACGGGCGAGTGGAGAATAGCAGCTGGGTTGTTTCTTGTTAGCTTCACTTCACAACAAACGTGCACTTTCAACATACTATCCTGCCATCTATCCAGTGTATTCTATGCTTCCATATTAGCAACTGCATTATCTAAACGAAGAGTAGGTTACTTACTGCTTATGCATTAAGAAGTAAGTTATTAAGTTTGGGATCAATCCATAAAGTCACTGCTGTCGGTTTGAGCCACGTGGGGATGTTTAAACTGCCTGACTTGGGTTTCTTATATGCTAAGAATCAATGGTTGGTAGGTGTTAGTGAAATGACTTAATTTGTCCTCAGTGGCTAAAAATGCATTCAATCTTTCTGATTTATCAGATTCACTGAATCCTCAACATTTTATAGGCAGTCACTCTTTCTCCAGTACATTTCTGTACCAGTTCCCTTACATTTCCTTTTCTCTCCATATTTACACAGGCCTTCTACAGTGTGACAAATTGAACTGCTGCACTTTAACGTGAGGTTTTAAGTTAAGAATTCAGTTCATTTAGTAAACCATATTAGTCTTTCTGGGATTTAAAAATTAAAATGTGACGTAAAAGTACATCAGTCCATTGGTACCTTTCGTAATTCCTAAAACTTTGTACAGGAATGAGTGGATGACGCTTACGTTAGAATGGATCACCACGTGTACTAGAAACAAAGATTAAAACTAAAGAGTACTTGATTTTTATGAATAATATGGGAAATAATTATTCCAAACTACAGCTGTATGAAGTATTTCGGAACTAGGAGCTAACAATAAAAACTACGAATTGATTTAAAACAGACAGTTGGATTAATTTTATTTAGCTAAAGACTGGAACATGTATTAGGTGACACATTTAAAATTAGTGAGGTTACTGTCTCCTAAATGTATTGGATAATGCATCATAATACTGACGGCTGAATACTATAAAAACTGCATTTCTAACCAATCAGAATAAAAAATGAATAGAGTTTTACACAGTCCTATATAGCAAATAGGTTTTTATGTGAAAACAATGCACAGAGAAATTTTTTTATAGCTTGATTCACACCGTATTTCGTATAGATTCACATGTGATGGAATCGACACTGGTCGCGAGAGTCTAACCACTGTTTATTCTTTTCGCATATTATATTTTGTGTTTCAGTAAAAGACCTTTTTTGGTAAATGAGTGGTAGAAATATACCATCTTAATACATTATGACATTTAGATAATGAAAATAATGTTTTTTCTGTATCATGATTATTAGTACTTACATTCACATTATTTGGCAGTAAACAATTCTTTTACTTCTGAATAATTTTCAAGTTTGGTCATAGATTGATGGCAGTCAGAGAAACCCTGAGGATCAGGGGATTTCTAGACATCTGTTTCGTCGTAGTTTGGGAATCTCCAGCAGTAATCACCCAGTGTAACAAGGTGAGCTTAAAGACCATTCAGCCACTGAGACCCAATCCAATGGCTCATTAATTTCAACGTTTTCTAATTCGCCATTTTAGTAAGACCATATCGGCGAGTAAATTTCCTCACTCCCACTGGTCACCAGGCTTCTCTAGAACTCCAGGCAACTTCATTCTGTAGCTAGCTACTATCTGGCAGGGAACTCGAGATTTTTAGGTTGTAAAGTTAGCACGATGCGATTGAGTCTCCGTAAGTGAACGTTATGGTCTATAAATCTTTACATCTCAGGAATCTTCCTGTCACCGGTTGCTCTCTTTTAGATGTAATTATTGAAGTACTGATAAGATGTCGCAGATAGAGTTGATTGTGAAGACATATCCTCACAGTTCATAGGAGATAGTGGTGGCACCATACTGCCTCTTAAAAGAAGTGATTATTCATTAGTTATTGAGTTAAAACCTTTTAACTCAGTGGCAATGTAGATGACTCAAAGCTTGTAGTTATTCATTTTGACTTCTGATAGGGACTTTAGTACCAGTTCTGTGTCAGTCAATAACTGACTAATGGCGAGAATTACTTTATGTTGGATAATAAGGAAAATACAGTGAGAAGTAATATAGAATTCAATTTTTCTACATCTAAAAGAAATCTGTGATCAAACAGGCGGAATTTCAAAATACAGCTTAACACAGAAGACAGAGTCAAACTTCTAAAGTTGCAGGAGCATTGGTGTTGTATTTGCAAAGTATGCTTGGCATTCTCACTCCAAGCCTTCCCTCTTCCTCTGACTTACCAAAGGCTAGTGATCTTTGCAGTGCTTCTCAAAATATTCACACGGCTTTATATCAATTGTCGCTTCCAAGGGAAACTGAAGCATGGAATTCGTTGATGGTGGTACTATTAAACAAGTGTATGGAGTTTGGAAGATGTATTTAGACCTTTTGTTTAAGGAGGTACTTGTTGACTTCATTTACTCATAATCTTGGGTTCCATTTTGATCTGGGTGGAATGGGGTTAGTGTTAAGGAGACCGTAACTACCGTGAAACAGTCACCTAGTTCTCCTTAATGTTCAGTAGTACTTGCCCATACTTCAATAAACCATTTTTTTCCATCTTTTCGCTATTCAGTGAGTAAACTATAATCTATGAAAACGAGTTTTAGGTAATGAATAGGGTGACAGTAGATGTTAATCTACTAGTGTCTCCTGCCTACATACAGATTTCCAGGAAAAATTACTGTACGAATATGATTCTTCTCAAATGCATCCGCCTACATTTCAAAAATGAATTTCGGAGATATAACAATTTTTTTAGGATTGTTGAAAGGTAGTGATGAGTAAGCTGAAAAAGTACTTTCTTTGAAATAACCGAATACCATGAAGCGTTTGATCTTTGATGGCACTTGAAACTAATAAACTACTTTTAATTGTTAATACATAAACGAGTAATTCCCTAAAGGATTGTTCTGAAGTATTTTTAATTTTGCTTAATTAGAGTAAACTGAAGGAATAATGTCCAAGGCGGTATTGTGGCGCATGCTGATCAGCAGATATGGTAGTGGTCACAATTGTGAATCGCTTCAATCTGTAGGACAGCAACATGCATTTTTTGACAGCTCGAGAATTAAACATTAGTCTGGACCCTCAACTAAAAGAAATAATAATAAGGGTTGTACAGATCTTACAGGTCAGCTTGTTCTACGGCTTCTAATTTTCCAGATCTTTGAATTCACTCCTCACTTAAATGTCACTTACCTACCTCACAATAATCTTTTTATTTACGCACTGTTATACTCTATCTGATCTTAACTACCTAGGCCTTTATTGAAGCTAAAACTTGCTCTTTGTTCATATTTGTTGCTTGCTTTAAGTCTGGTTGCTTTGATTAAAAACACAACAACACCAATGTTTGAACAAAGCCATTTTTACAGGATTTTCATCATGAGCTGATATTAGTTAGAGAACCATTGGAAAACCTGGGAGTACTGGACAACTGTTTCGTCCTAGTTTGGGACTCTTCATCAGTACGCGCCCACCGGGATTCGAACCCAGGACCTTCTGGTTACAAGGCGAGCTCGTATACCATTAAGCCACTGGGACCCGATCCAATGGTCCATGAATTCTAACTTCTGCCAATTCACGACATAGCGCGACCCCTAGCCAATATCTTCGGCGAGTATTTGTCCTCACACCCGACCTGCTGCACCCTACTGGTTACGACTTCTCACTAGAACCCCAGGCAACTACCTACCTGAATAGGGCCAGTCACTAGTGAGCATCTCATTGATATTCAAGTGTTGGTTTGTAGGGATTTGATTGATTACAGGATTTTCATCGGAAACGTGATAGTTTCCATGCTTACACCAATATGGTTAGCATTAAACATTGCAAATGTATACTATCATTTCAAGTACTATATAGCTTCTTTCCCTTGTATTTATCTTGTTAATATACTTTCAATAATGTATTATTCATAATTGCATTTTATACCATTTTGCAGCTGCGCAGAATTTTCTTCTCTTCCTGAAATAGCGTTCAATCACGTCGCGGTATAGCACTCACCCAGATATACGCTGTTCACTGGTTGACCATAACTATCAGCAGGAAACGGAACGAAGTTTGGGTTGTCGCTCAACTTTGATGGTGACCTTAGTAAACGGTTTACAATTTAACATTTATAAGAACCTGTTCTGATTGCTTGTACAATAACTGAACAATTCAAACTTTTGAAAAAGTATTAATGTATGATACTTCAGGATTGTAATTTATAACATTACTGATCGTGCCTGTAAAATTGGCATGCATTTCTTGTAAACTTACCCGTTTATACGAAATATAAATTATTATTATTATACTAGTAGCACGAATGAGTATGTCAAACGCAGGGTCAGAAAAGCAAGAAGGACCGTCACCAATTTGAAATCAGTGTAGAAATCGACTGCACTCAGCATAAAGAACAAAATTAAGAGTTTCAGCACTACTGTCAAGTCACTCAGTGCTTTTATATGGTTCAGAGACTTGGTGTGTCATGGAAAACATTTACAACTGGTACTGTAGACTTCCATCAACAGATACCTTCAGTGGCTCACTAGTGGAGATCAAATATCAGACGAGAAAGGAGTAACAACAAGGAACTTTGGCCACAAAATAACCAAGCGTCTATTGCCCTACAAACGTGGAGAAAGGAATGCACAAGGAATGAACATACACTAAGAGCACCATAGAGTGACACAGCGCGCTGAGCACGTCTTAATTCGGACGCGAATGAGGAACGACAAGCTGGTTGAGCATCTGAGGGTGACATGAAGGAGGTGAAAGCTTATATGCAATCGTTGAACTAGCTAAAAATGACTCCAGCGAACTGAATGAGATAGATATGTTGTTGAAGCCCTATATTCCACTCGGGACCCTTTTTTATTTTTTTTAAAATTTCCTTCACGTTCCCCAGTGGAACATAGGGCTCCAAGCTAGTGGCTTGAAGTTTCTGTGCAGTGCATATTTTACAGGATGGGGTTGCTAGCCTCATGCCCAACCTTTCCTCTTCACCAGCGTTATTTCTGGGTTAGCGAGGTAAAGGAGTGCGTCGGCTGGGGATAGAACCCTGGACCATGTGCATGGTCGGTGAGCGTCCTAACCGCTATGCCACCGACGCACTCGAGGAGTATTTATATTTTTTTTATCTTTGATTACAGCTTGATGTCACATCGTATTTTCAGTACATGTATGGAATTTTTGGCATGGATATTGGTAGCACAAATTTTGCAGGCCAACCATAGATATTAGGTGTGCATCGGCAGGGGATCGAACCCCGGACCATGTGCATGGTCGGCGAGAGTCCTAACCACTGTGCCACCGACGCAATAATAATAATATTTAATATATAGAAGCAATGATGTCACCTATGTTTAAGTTAGATTATACACATGAAGTGAAAGACCACATCTATTGACTTACTTTAATATTTCCAAGCTTTTTTGAATTTGATGCTGTATGATTCGCTTTATTTGTTCTTTTCTTAAATAAATTACACCTGTGTCTCTTTGATTTTATTTCCAAATTAGTTAAGTCGAAATCACCAGATTCCATTTTATTTAGTGATTTTGGACAACTGCCGACTATGCTACTACGACAACTGTCTATAGTATCCGGTGGTGATAAGTGTTGATTTGGTTTTATTGAATTGCGTTTAACTTGTTGTTTCAATGGGATAATTTCACTGTCATCATTTGTATTATTATTATTATTACTATCACTGTTTGACTCTTTTACACATTCAACGCTTTTATTAGTTCCAGTTGACTGTGACTGAGGATTCTGTTGTTTATCTTGTGAACCTTGTAAGGTTTCATTTTCAATATTCAACACTGGTGGATCAGATGGATCTTGACTATGATTTTCACTTAATTCATCAGCTTTTTGTCGAACCATTGAAAATACTAAACGTGCAAATTTTCCCCAACCTAGAAGATAAATAAATGTAAATAGAAAGATTCTATTATATTTTTATTGATTTGAGACTGATTAGAACAAAAATAACCGTTCACTGTTTTATTACAGCAGTCTGGATGCATTAAATATATGAAAATCAGTCTCAATTGTTTCTTTTATTTATGCAGTGTAATCACGCAATCCTCAACGTTCAATTCATCAACGCCAGACAAATAAAAAACTGTTGTTCTCTTACTTTTCGAAAGCTTACCTGTGAACCCAATTCATGAATTTATGGACGGTGTTTATTTTGTTCCTTAACGTTCCCAGAGCAACATAGGGCTTCAAGCTAGAGCCTTGAAGTTTCGGCAGTTATAATGTTTATTTTTACGGGATGGGGTTGCTAGGCTCATGCTCAACCTTCTTTCTTTAGCAGTCTTATCAATGGCTCAGCAAGGTAAAGGAGTGCGTCGGTGGCATGGGATCGAACTCCGGGCCATGTAAGGGATGGTTGGCGAGCATTCTACCGTTGTGCCATCGAAATAGATGGTGTAGTGGCACATAATTCTACAAAATCGCTAGTCTGCAGCTGAATCGGTAATCGACACTGGTGACTGACATCGACGCTTTTACAAAGTAATTATTCTAGATTAATATGGCCAAGCACTCTCTCTACTAGGTAGATTATTTTTTTAAGTTCAGTTCCTCTTTAATGAACCTTTGTTTGCTACGCGTGTATTTCATTTGAGCAATTTCAATGCTGAAAAGTACATCTCATCACTTTTCTTGCTTTTTTCTAGTAAAACGTTTCTCATCTGACGTTGGATAAACACAAATGGATTGGAAGAAAACATACGCTTACTATACCTACCTTTCCAGTCCCAATCTAGTTCCTTAAATAAACGTTCATATTTCTCATGTTAATGTAGTTGAAAAAGTTTAGTTTATGGATCTCATCTAATTGTCACTAGTATCTTAATCAGTAACTCCTGTAGGAGGTTTCAGCTTCTCTGAGCTGTTCAGTGATTTACCTTGGTATCGACTAAATCTTTTCTTGTCTAAATTTTCACCGTCAACCAGATATTTGTATCTCAGAGATGTCTATAAATTTCATGAATTCTTCTTATGGCTTTACTCATGGTTTTTGGAGAAGAAGGCATTTTATTCATTGAAAAACACTAAATTGGTAGTAATTTACTCCAATTTCCTATTATTGTGAGCAATATTCACAAAACATTTCATTTTACAAAGAGAAACGATAATTTAAAAACCAGTCAACTTTAATTCCTTGTTTAACGACAAAGTGTAATTAAAAGGAAATAATATACTTTTATTAGGAGGTTGTGGAAGTACTTTCACTAAGAGAAAGTAAATCAGTATGTAATTAGTATGTAAGTTACACTGAATAATCACGTTTAATTCTGCTAGATATCAAAAATAGAGAACTAAAAATGAGATATATTAGCCTTCAGTTCCTAAGGGAAAAAATGTAACATTGAGTGTTCATTTCTGTATTGCTTACCGAACCACACCATATATTATTATTATTGTTCCCTTGGGTTCCTAGTGGAACATAGGGCTTCAACTGCACGCCTCCACTTGTTTCTGTCTTCTGCTGTACTTTTCACTTGCATTCATGTTAGTCCATACTGTTTCAACTCTTCTTCACACGATCTCCTCCATGTCACCCTTGCACCGACGTCCCACTCGCCGCTTCCATTTCGGGTTCCACTCAAGCTATGGCCTGACGCGGGATGTCACCCAACGGCCTCCTCAGCTGAGTGTCCAATCCATCTCCACTTTCTCCTGCATATTTGTTGAGCGATTGGTTCCTGATTTGTTTGTTCCCATAGTTTCTTGTTTGCGATTCTTTCCGGCCATCTGATCTTCAGTATGGAACGAAGACAGTTGTTGATAAAGGTCTGCAACAGGCTGTTGGAAATATTCTTTGTGACCCGCCACGTTTCTGATCCGTATAGAAGAACTGACTGACTTGACGTTTGTATTGAAAATCCGAATTTTGTTGTTGATGCTGAGTGACGAAGATTTCCAGATTGGTTTCAGGTTGATGAATGTGTTTCTCGCCTTCCCGATTCTCGATTTGACATCCTCGTCCGTTCCTCTTGTAGTTGAGACAATGCTCCCTAGATAAGTGAAAGAAGTAACCTCTTTCAAATCCCTCCCGTTGATGGTGATTGGCGCTGGATATTGCTGCTGTTGTTGTTGTTGGTTGGTTATTTTCATAACCTCCGTCTTGTCTATGTTCACCTGGAGTCCTGTCTTCTCTGGCTGCTTCTTCGACCAGTTTGTCGGTTTTCGCTTGTAAGTCTTCGATTTTTGTGACATCAAACGTAAATCATCCGCGAAATCCAGGTCTTCTAAGTTCTTCACTTCGGTCAGGACAGGATATCTCTGTCTTCTCGTTTCCCACTGTGTGACACATAATCCAGTCCACCACAATTAGGAATATCATTGGTGATAATAAGCACCCTTGTCTGACTCCTGTGTTTACTCCAAACGCTTCGCTGAGTTTTCCGTTGTGGATCACTTGAGAAGTGCTGCTGTCGTACAGCTGTTGAATAAGGTTGATGAATATTTGGGGTACGCCGTAGTACTCGAGTAGTTTCCAAATTACTTAGCGGTCAACGCTGTCGAAGGTCTTCTAAAAGTCTATGAAGTTGAGGTAGAGGTTTGATTGCCATTCCATGCTTTGTTCGATGATGATGCGTAGAGTTGCGATTTGGTCAGAACATGATTTGCCTCTCCTGAATCCAGCTTGTTCTGGTCGGAATTCTGTATCCAGTGCGTCCTTGATTCTCTCCAGGATGATGCGACTCAGGATTTTACTTGGCGTTGACAGGAGCATGATTCCTCGCCAGTTCTTGCAGAGTTCTAGGTCGCCCTTCTTTGGTAGTTTCACGATTTAACCTTTCCTCCAGTCAGTAGGCACCTTTCCCTCTTTCCAGATCTTTTGCAATGATGGAGTCACCATTTCTGCTGTCATCTCTGGGTCCGCTTTCAGTGCTTCCGGGGGTATTCCATCTGGTCCAGCCGCTTTTCCAGCTTTCAGAATCTTGATTGCATTCAAGACTTCAGCTTTCGTTGGAGGATTGGTGTCAACTTGCAGTTGTGTACGTGCTGTTGTTGGTATTTCAGGACGGGTTGTAGGTGGTGGTCGGTTCAAGAGTCCTTTGAAGTGGTCCGCCCATTGTTTAATCTGTCTTTCTTCCTTGGTAATTTGGTTCCCTTGGCTGTCTTTTATAGGTTTCACTTGTGTTGATCTCTTCCCGGATAGAGACTTGGTTATCTGATATAGTGTCCTCAGGTCCCTTTTGCCTGCTGCCTTCTCAGCTTCAGTAGCCAGGTTGTCGTAGAATTGTCTTTTGTCCTTCCTGGCACTCTTCTGCACCTCTTTGCCCAGTGTTGTGTAAGTTGAGTTCAGCGTCTCTTTCTCTTGTCCATCTTTGCATTGAATCATTTTTTCTTTCACCATTCTCCTCTCCTCTATTAGCTTCCAAGTGTCCGTTGAGAGCCATTCCTTGTCTTGTTTCTTCTTTCTTCCTAAAACCGTTGAACACGTTTCGTTGAAAATCACCTTCAGAGAGTTCCAATGGTTTTCCATGCATGATTCCTCAGTGATGCCACGTAGTGTTTCCTGCTTTGCTCTGACAGTTGCAGTGAAAGTGTCCTTCAAATTTTGCGTGTTTAACTTGCATTGTTGCCTATCCCCAGGTATCCTCGAGGCTTTCAGCTTCACCTTGAATGTCCCTTGTACTAGATAGTGGTTTGAACCCACATCTGCTCCTCTCCTCGATCTTGTGTCCAGTAGGCTCCGTCTCCACTTCCTTGAGATTGAAATGAAGTCTATCTGGTTTTTGGTGTGTCCATCTGGTGAAATCCATGTTGCCTTGTGTATATCCCTGTGTTTGAACACACTGCCACCAATCACCAAATAATTGAAGGCGGAGAAGTCTGAGAAAAGTTCACCATTTTCGTTCATTTCACCGAGGGCCTCAAGACCCATGGTGAGTTCCCTTCCTGTGTTGTCTCCTCCCAGTTTCGCATTCATGTCACCCATCAGGATTTTGATATCGCTATTTGGGACGTTGTCCATGACTGTTTGTAGTTGACTGTAGAAATCCTCCTTCTTCTCATGCTCTGAGACGTTTGTAGGCGCGTAGCATTGAATGATTGTGACCTTTTTTCCTTTTGAGTTGAACCTGGCTGTCATTCATAAGGCTACTGATTACAATCTAGATTACAAAGACATGTTTCTTTTTTCAAATTTATTATATACATGCACTTTTTTTCACAGTTGTATTTAGACCATTTAACCAACAGGACAACATTAAATGTAGCTTTTTTCGGTAGACTATGTTAAAAGTAGGCTGTTTATTTGAATTTATTCCTTGGTTTCGTAAAGAACACATCCTTTTCTCATTTTGTTCCGATTGGAACATAGGGCTTCAAGCCTGAGCTTTGTAGTGGTTGTGGGGTTGCTGACATTACACCCAACCTTCTTTCCCCACCAGACTTACTAATGACTTAGCGAGTGTACAATTACGTCAACTGGGGATCGAATCCAAACCACGTGCATGGTTAGCTTTTATTCTATCACTGAATCACTGAAGCGCATAGAACGCATTTGCTGCTATGAAATTCCTACACTTGTAACAAACTTCTTGAGGGATAAATAAGTCTCCTTGACTTAAACGTGATGATTTATTCTGTAAGGGAGATACTTTGATATCAAAATCTGATCATCGCTGTACCAAAAATAATATTTGTCCATGTATATACAAAAGTAAGAGTATTATTCGGCTATATCGCTTTGAAAATCTAATAGCTTTCCTAGTGGGTTTTTACTAAAATTGTTATCATTACTCACCATTTTGATGCTAACTATTTAGGTGAACTTAAGTCATTGAAAAATACTGACAGAAAACATCAGCATTTTAAGTATTTAGTCAAATTTGTATTGTTTAATATTACTGAGGGGGGGATTAGAACTCGCCTATCCAAGTGAATAAAACGCTGTTTTTATGTGGTTGACTTACATTAAGTAATCTTCAGCTGAAATATGATTGGACAATGAGTCACTAACAAACTAATCCTTATGTTCCCCTTAAAGTACATATACTCTTTCAAATCCTGATTACACTGGACTCTGTAAGAATGTCCTCCAAAAACGCCTAGCTGAACAATACGCAGCTCGACTGGTGAAAGATGAGCATATAATGACGAAGTTTTCAGTATGCAAACAACTTTTTGAGTCAGGTCACGTAACCCCCTGCCATTTATGCGTTGCAGATATCTACAGGGCGAAATTCAGTCACTCTAAAAGTTTACATTTTCACAATTTATGCATCTCTGAAGCTTTAGCTGTAAATAGAAAAAACTTATACTATTTATCGAAAGTTTTGTTGAGCCTCTTTTTCTACCTTGGTCAGAGTAGTTTCCTTTATCCGATTTTATGTTATCGCTGGAATCCATTCCACTCTACTGTATCTTCGCTTTCGTTTTTGTTGCCACCAGTGTGTTTTTGATTCTTTTGGCAATACTTGACCTACTCTTAAAATTCTAACACAAATTCACTTATTCAATAATCTTTTAAAACTTAGTATTTCATCCACTTCAACCGCACCGCTATTAAACATTACGTTGGTTATCTTTATTCTTATCACATGTATATTTACTAAACAATTTTTAGTGCCATTTAATGCCTTTTTCATAATATGAATACGACTGTACAGCTTGAAAACTAAGTGACTGTAAAGAAATATTACTTCTCTCAACAAAATTGTGTTTCCCTTCATAAACCATCTATTGCTCAGTAATTAATTCGAAACTGTAGTTGAGAAGTGGCTGTCCGTCTGACTATGCAGATGTCAGTTTGAATACATATATACGTATATATCCTCAGAAGAAGAATTAGAGCGAACAGTTTTTCTCAGTAACTTTCTTTTTCGAACTCTAGAGTTGTAATTTTTAAATAAAGGGTGGTGAAACAATGACTGCAATCCATAGATTTAAATGTTCCACGATAGAAATAATCAGTAATCAGCATTAATTTAGGAAGTTACGAATTTCGGAGAATTACATTTTATTTTCAAGTTTTGATTTTGTAGGGAATTTTGCTTGCTTGTTTGGAGGATTTCACCACGAGCTGATATCAGTCAGAGAACCAGTGGAAAACCTGGGAGTACTGCATAGCTGTTTCGTCCCATTTTGGGACTCTTCATCAACACGCACCAGTCAGGGTCCGAAACCAGGACCTTCTGGTTACTAAACGAGCTTATCAGCTCATAATGAAATCCCCCAACCAATCAAACAACATTCCCGGCAAAACCAGTTTCTGAAAATTAATCTGCTGTTCAGTAGCGACTGGCGCTATTCACGCAGTTCACTTGGGATTCTTGTGGGAAGCCATGGCAAGTAGGGTACAGCAGGTTGAAGGTGAGGCAGTAACTCATCTAAGAAGACATTGTGAGTTGGTCTTGCTATGTCATTAATTGGCAGAAGTTGGAATTCATGTGCAAATGGATCGGATCTCAGTGGCCTAATGGTCTACGAGCTTGTCTTGTAAACAGAAAGTGCTGTGTTCGGACGCCGGCGGTGGGCGAGTACTGATGAGGGTTCCTAAACTAGGAAGAAAGAGCTAACTGTCCAGTACTCCCTGCAGGTTTCCCAATGGTTCTCCAGCTGATGTCAGCCCATAAAAATACTCAGCTTAATCAAACTATTGGTCGCTTTGATAACTACAGAAGATATGTGGACACCATATTCTTTGTTTGTGATAAGAAGGTAGTGCTTAATGATATTTCGCTTGCATTCGCCAACTACCATTCAATATTACAATTTACCATAAAGAAGAGATCCGATTAAGCATCCTTTTTTCAATATGTTCTTCGCAGGAAGTAATGGTAGACCTTGTCCACGATCGATCCAGTGGGAACGTACATGAAATATACGTTTAACTAATTTCTATAGTCGGGTGCCTAATTCCAGGAAAATGAATCTTTTTCACTCTTTTTTATAGGATAAGAAATATTTATGGTTTCGATCGTGCTGACGCATAACTTTCTTCCTTAAGGTTATCATTACTGAAAACGATTACCCCAACTGATCTGTTGATAAAAATTCATGGGATAAACATTCTAAACTGGTTACTAACTCAATTCCAAAGAAAACCATCTTCATGAATTTGTTTTTCATAGGCGATCAAGTTTCAGATATGTCCAAAAATTGTCTTCTTAATAATTAAGCAGGATGTTCTTAGCTGCGAAGCTCCAAATAACCTACTGTAGCCGCAAGTTATTCTCCCTCTCTGTAAAAGATAAGGTTCCTTGTCTGGCCACCTCCATATGTATATACCAGTCCACCTGTTTGTGTGTACCAAGGTACATTAGCGATAGCCAGAGAATTCTTTTCATATGGATGAGAAAGCACATCCTAGCATGGTTTTACATGGGAGAAAGGAAGGGTGAGAGCTCTACTCTATAAAAATCGGTCGACTTCTATCACTTAACTAACCTTGACGATGATTTTAAGCACATCTATCGGATTCATGATGATTTATTGATCTTTATTCGTTCTAAATTTTCAGAGACAGTGCGAGTCTTGGCTAGACATAAATTTAAGCCGGGCCCTCGTGTAAAAGTAAGGTATGTACTGTCCGTAGTTCTATCTTGGCCGTGAGATATGGGGGATAAAAACGTTTAATCTGTATATTTTTCCTATACTACTACTACTTCCGCTATTGTTATTATTACTTGTACTTTGCATGACTACCAGAATTATTTCACTTGTTCATTTTAAAAGTTTAATTCAGTGTATTACTGAAATATTAAAATCTGTCTAATCAAAATTTTCACCTTCTCCTGCTAATCCAATAATCCTATTAGTTTGACATTCCTTTCCAAGGTTTATACATACTTTATGCTATTTCATATATTGCGCAACCTGTTTTGTCGCTATGATTATAATCACAAATATTCTGTCGCATTTCATATTATTATTGCAAATATTCACTTTTACATTAATTTCCTCATGCGATATAGTTTCTTAGAAATCATATACATATATATATGACTGTACAGCTCGAAAATAGATTCGTTAAAAAGTCAGTTCGCTAAATATTCAGTTCTTGCTGGTAGTTTTAGACGCTGAAATACTTTAGCAAATGCATTACATCCATTATTTTATTGTATTTGTTCAAGAAATATAAATGAACAGCCTGAAAAAGTAACTGAAAATAACTATTCATCCTAATTATTCGTGTTCAGCATGTTAGTTTTTCAGCGGTAAAGTTCTCATTGACCATGCATGTAGTTCGGGGTTTGATGCCCGGCCGACACACATCTAAATCTCGCTTGGCTTGTAGTAAGCCTAGTAAAGAGGGAAGGTCGGGCGCAAGGTTAGCAGCTGCATCCTGTAAAAATAAACACCAGAGTTACTGAAATGCAAAGGCCCAAGTCTGAAGCCATATGTTCTACGAGAAACACAAAGGAGTAAAATAAAATAATAAGAATAATACATATTCTCTATGTTCTAGAATAGACTGATTCATCTATTTTCGTCTCATTTACCGGTATTATTACAGCCGAGAATAAAAAAGTGAAATATTCCAAAAGAAGAAAACGTTACTTACTGCTACCAGCATCACTTGCAGCTGCAAATGCTCCTAATGCAGACGTCTGAGCAGTTTCTTCTTTCAGCGGCTGACGAAATGCTGTCAAATCTTTGAGAGTAATAAGAAATAGTACCACAACATTTTCGTCGTTTCTTATCGGAATCAATTCCACTAGAATACACAATGGGGTCACTAGAAATTAAGTAGACCAAATAAAAATAGAAAAAAAATTGCCGTATAAACAAGCATTGTCAATAGTTTTATTTGTTTCAATTACATTATTAGTCTATATTTATTATCGGCATAAGGTAGGAATATAATGGGGAAATAACTTAAGGTCATTATTTGATTGAATCACTGAACTCAGTCGAATTTCTCTGAATGAGAAAAAGCTAGCGTTTGCTGATTATTTGATTGAATTTTATGTTAAAGCGAGCAAAGAGGAAAAAATGACCAAAACTAAAACTCAAAATTCTTCGAAATAATGATAAACACATTTTATTGATCACAATACTGTAAGATCTGGATTGGTCTATGTAAGACCACGGTCAGTTAACCTTGCTGTCTCACGTTGGTTAAGCTCCAAGTGTATGTGGTCTAGTAGAAAGTGGTTTTGTGTTTTGAACGATTGGTATTAGGTTTGAGTCCCAGTTAGAACACTATGACTCACTGGAGACTACAGGTACACCCAATGACGAGTCCCAGATGGGATGAAATATGCGCCTTCATTCCTCTAATGGTCACTGATATAAGAATAGAACTCGTGCTCTGTAGTAGAGTATCATTCCATTATGGGTGAAATTTATTTTGATAAAGTCTCACAGTGTTGTACAGTAATATTTACTGTGAGACTTTATCAAAATAAATTTCACCCATAATGGCACTGATGGTCACTATTCACCAAATAACATCATGTTAATTACCAGACATAGTCGAAGCATCCATAGAAGTAACTAACGTGTCAAGAAGAACCAGACATTTGGTCCAGTGCAGTCGCTCAACGGTAAAATGCAAATTAAAGTAAACAAATAACAGAAGAGTAACTGATTATTTCATTTTCAATCCCCTTCGAATGTTACTTGAATTATTTCATTCTGGTGAACCAGTAGACCAACTGCACACTGATGTTGCGCATCATGTTACTCACTATCTGAAGAATAACATTCATTGAGGAACTGGATTTCTATTCAGATTAATCGCGTTGGGATTTTCTATATGATTTAGTAGAAATTTTGAAACATGTTCCTTTCGATGACATTGGAACATTCTGTTGGTTCTACCCATATTGGTGTCACCGCAGCTGCAGGTGAACTTGTAGATACAGTTTGAAGTAGAGTCCATAGAATTTCGTCCTCTAATCGTAGGTACAGGGATCGAAAATGTTCGGCAAGTGAGAAAAAGAGATGCGGCGTAAAATGTGCGTTTGATGGCTGACCGATGTCTTTGGGCTGTCAACTGTATAATCTGGTCACCCTTGACTGGCAGGTGAATAAAGATAGCTTTCTTTGGTACAGTAGCTGTCTTTTCGAGATGTGGTCTTTCTTTACTGTGATAAGTGATAAAGTTTTCCGGATAACCATTAGCTAATAAAACTGAATGTATATGTCGAAATTCATCCATCAATGTGTCACTCGTGCATATTTTTCGGGCCCTTGAGAACAAACATTTCACTAGGGAACGTTTACACTGGATAGGAACAAAACTGGTTAAATGAAGATATTGTCCACTCCATTTCTGTTTACGAAAAATAGATCGCTGAATCGTACCGTGGAGTAGACAATATCTTCATTTAACCAGTTTTGTATATATATATATATATGTATATATATATATATATATATAGAAACTTACAGTTCTTCTTGTATAGAATAACTTCTACATGTTCAGATTTTTGTTCTTTAAAGGCATTTTCCAGTGTAGCCATTATTGATTTATTTGTTTGTGGTCCATGTAGAAATGGACATAGACCAGGTTTTTGCATTACTTCAACACGACCAAATCCAGTTAGATTAATAAATCCATTACTAACATAAACTATAGGAAAATCTAAAATACGCGCATTGGCGAGTAGAAAACAAGAATCTGAAAATGAAGAAGAAAAAAACAAAGGTTTTGGGTTATCAAAACCAAAGTAGCAGCGAACAGCTGGTTATTACTATAACAAGTAGAAATAAGTTGAAGTGGTCCATGAAGTTTGCAAATATTTATGTTAGGAGCATAGAAAAGCTTGTCATTTCTGCGGCATGGGACAACTTTGGCAGACTTCAAGTTAAATGCTCCAAAATTATCGTTCACAGAGTATTTTGTTTGAAGAACACCGTGAATTAAACATATTCTGTGCGAGTTCGGCTAATCAACTGGATGCCCTTTGGAATTGTAGTAAAATGTTTAGCATAAGCGGAGCACAAAACACTAACAATGTGAGCATAAAATACTGAACCTTTAGATCTCAGTTTGGTTTGGGACAAGAAGTTATAATGTTAGCTTGTGAACGAGTTATTGTGTTAACTTTTGCTAAAGACAGACTTTGAATGTATATTATAGAAAACGTTGAGCAATTTCACGATACTTGAGTTGCGCTTGTGTTTTAGTAACAATATTAATTCTTCTCGTTTTGTTTTCATGTGCAGTTTTGAAGGATGGAAAAGTGATGCAATGCTTTTCTCTGAAACATTTTACTCAAACATATCTGTTTCTCACTGAAAATAAACTCAGCGTACAAAAAGCTGCAGTCTGAAGAGAATCAAGATCCAAATGTCTAGTCTTGTTTTTTATCAGAATTTCATTATTTTCCAGGTTTAAAGAGCTTCACTCTTACGCATATGGAAGTGAGAATTGATGATCTTTTAATTTCAAGATTGGTTAAAAAATTGACTCCAGTTAGAGAATCACTGAAAACCATGCAGTACTAGACAACTGTTTCATCGTTTTTTGGGACCCTCTATCAGTACGCAGCCATGACCCTACCAAGCAGTGAACCCGAAACCCTCGGCATTACAAGGTGAGCTCGTAGACCATTCAGTCACTAAGAAGGAATCCGACGGCTCATCAATGTAAAATTCTGCCACTTCACGTAATGGAGGCCTACTATCGAAGAGTCCTAAAGAAAAACAAAATGACTTTTCAGTCCTCCTTGATTTTTAGTGATTCTGCAAATGAATTCAGTTTATGAACAGTCTCAAAACCAATCAAAGTCCTGCAAACCAACGCTTGGAACGTCTTTTAATTTCTTTGCTGATCCCGATATTATGGTAGGTAGAACTCAAGCAGTTGGTGATGTGTGATCTGAGATTACATGTTTTTACATATGTTCAAGTCGAAATGTGACCAAGATATCGCATTCGAAGTCCCTTCCTGAGATATTAACGGACTCGGTGTAGCACTGTGAAGCAGTGGAACGGCAGTGTTCGATGTCTAAAGTTGAAAAAGTTTTCAAATACTGAACTACTGACGTTCTTCAATCCAAATCTGCAAACGTATTCTGTAACACCTCGTCAACTGTAGCCATCGGGCACCCCCTCGTCACTTCGCCAGTGCAACAGAGAGTTCTTCAATATCTCACGAAAGAACTTCGAATACGTTAACTGCACATAACCAAATCATTGGCTATTCGAGACTTGAGACCAAACATCTGCATTCAAACATCCTAAACGTATTCAATCGCTTTATCCGGACCAGAGTAACGTCTTTACCACAACCGAGATACAACAGGAAAAAATCTCTATTCACAGTGTGGCAAGATTTCATTGAAATTTTTAGTCATAACTGTCTTTTATCAGTTAAACAAATAGACTTTCAGGAGACAAAACAAAGAGCGAAGGATTGGAATCACAGAAATTTAAAAATTAACCAAGTTTATATTACAAATTGTTCTCATGGGAATTACTGCAATATGCTAAGAGTTAAGTAGGATAGAATCTTTTTTGTCGGTTACCATTCACTATATTCATAGGCGCGTATTTTTCAGGCATGATGGTCAGCCTACAAATTTAGAAAGGAAAACAACGACTTGTTTTAATGATGATGGACATTACTCACTTAGTTGTAGGTCTGAGTATCTATGATTCTATTTGAAAGAGAGAAAAAAATGTAGGAAAGGTGTGTCCACTTTGTTTTTTTAATAATAATAATTATTATTATTATGACTGTGTAGAAAAGAATAATATAACTGCATGCATAAATTAGATTTTTGTTTTGTCATTACTAAACTCGATTATAATGAAGATAGGGGGTAGAGAGGTAGTCGCGCTTTTAAACAATATACTGAGCAGTTGAATTCATTTCTATGCTTTAAAAAATGACCTAGGAGTCTACGCCATCTTGTGAATAATAAACAAATGTAACCTTGGTAACGGTAAACAATCACTTCAGCATGTATGTTGATGATTCATTTGTTCATTTAATCGTTTATTTATTCGTTGACTAAATGACTTCTCTCCCTTTCTCTCTCTCTTTCTATAATTCCTCTTAGTGTTATTTTTGTTTTGTTTTTTATTCCTATTGCTATTTTTGTTTCGTACGGGATCTGTTAGAAAAAGGCGAATATTCATAAAATGCTACTCTATTTGGATTCACTTGTTCATTTTGTTTATTTTTGATTTTGAATCATCAAGATAGCTTTGCTTAACGATTTAAACAGTTTATTGTATTTTGAAAGATAACTGAATTGAGTAAAATAACCGTTTTGTAATAGAGCTCAATTTGGCTTGTTTTTGCCCCTTTTTTTAGTAAGCGCTTGTTTTCCATGAAATATTGGATACACAAATGAGGGTTTATGTAGGGAATATTCATATATGTGTGTATGGACAAACTAGATTGTCTAATTGATGCTGTATTGTATTCAACCACTTCCCTTCTTGTTACCGTCTGTAAAGGGATGATTTCACTAATCTAATAACTGGATATCTTTATCGAACTAGTAGCAACAGAAAGTTGGATATTTTCAAGTATTGTTGTAGGGATTTGGTTTGGTTGGTTGGAGGATTTCATCATGAGCTGACATCAGTTAGAGAACCATTGGAAACCATCAGAGAGTACTGGACAGCTGTTTCGTCCCAGTTTTGGACTCTTCATCAGTACGCAGTTTGGTAGGTTACTTGTCCTTACATGTAGGAAAAAACAGTTTCGAATTCTGTCTAGAGAGTAATCTATGAAGTACTTAGAGAATTTATTGATCAAAGTGAAATAAGCTAAGGGAAAAAAGATTTTCAGTATGACTGTACATAACATTTGCTGTCCGAAATGAGTTCAGGAGTTATTGCAATGTTTTCTTGATAAATGCTTAACAAGATATAGGTTATTATATGGTTGGAGGCAATCGGCAGGAAGCCTTCGACCTAGGTTTCGTGCTAGTTGGTACTCAGTAGTCAGCAAGGCGTATCTTCAACCTCGAAGGAACTGATGTCCGTTCTGAGATTAAAACCCGCGTCACCCAGTGCTGCAGTCAGAGACGTTATTACTGAGCTATTCAGGCTCGCGATTGGCCTCCTATAGGACTGTATTGGATCCTGCCAGCTAGCACGAAACCTAGGTCGAAGGCTTCCTACCGATCGCCTCCAACCATCTAATATCATCAAATCAATGTGCACCATGATGGCGAACTACTTAGAATGGTGGCCACATTGCAAACTTGACTGATAGGATTCAGTCTGTACCGAAGGTAGGACTAGACACACACGTCACTCTGGTTACTGAGTAGTGTTCAGTCAAAGATATAGGCTAGCAAGGAATATTCTTTTCGCTGCTTCACATCAAAGCTCCACAGTCATATAGTGTTCTAAAAGGTTATAGAAATGCCTATAAAGGTCAGTTATTAATATCAATTGGTAAAAAAGGCTATGAAATTTTAGTGGTTATCCCAATTTAGACATTTAAAAGACAAAAGGATTGAGCGAAAAAATGTCTACTTTCTAATTATATCATTACTTATGGCAGTACTTTAATATACGTATAACAATTTTAATACATTACAGAAATATACCATTGCAGTGGCGATAAGTTCGTTAACAATAATGAGTCACCCCTAGAGGCGGTAATACCAATAGAATTCGAGATAACGTATTACATTTGTGTCACCTAGAACTTATTCAGTAAATACGTTCCAGTTTTTATCTTTAAACGTTCATCTGAGATTCCGTACATTGTCCTGATATTAGCGTCTATGTCTAGTTTCCTTACTATGGTACGAGAAAGTGCTTTTGTCCCGCTCCCCATATATTTTTGGCGGTATCCGTATAATACAATGATCCGAAGTCATTTGTTAACACCAAATCAAGAGAATTGTCTAGTCAAGTCGAAAAGTTGACATAAACGAGATCTACAAACACTAGTAAGATCTCATGAAAACTGTTGCATTGAGGGGACTAAAACTGAAACCAAGTCTATTGCTAAATACCTCGGTCTAGTTCTATCTTCCGACCTTACTTGGGCATCTCATATCCTAACGATTTCTAAGAAAGTGTTCTGTCTTACCTACTACATTAAGAAACTTAGACAATCTGGAATCACCCAACCTCTACTTTCACAATTCGTCAACTCTTGTATCTTACCTATTCTACTTTACTGCTCCCCGTCAGTCCTTCCTGGGCTACTGAAAAAGGACTATGCCATCCTGAGAAGGATGTTGAAGGTAGTTAGTAGAACTAGTGGTGTATAACTCAGTCAGCTCGTCACTACTTTAGTTGATAGGCATCTGAATACATGCGAAAAATGATCAAAAACCATACTCTCTGACCCCCAACACCCCCTCTATTACCAACTCTTGCCTTGTATCTCATCAAGTAAAACCAGAAATCAGTATAAAATAATCTATGCTCGTACAACCAAGTACAGGAACTCAGCGATACCATACTTGGCCCGTGTTCTAAGCGACAGAGACAATGTTAAGCGTGAAACCTATGATTTGCTTTGTTATTAACAACATAATTTAGGCTCTTTTATTTCTCTCTTATTTGTATTCTATAGTGAACTCCTTCTCAAACTTACTTAGCTACCTAAATTATTAACATTGGCTTACTTTTTGTAGTTTACTATATTCCTTCTATTGTGTATCCACTGGTTCCGACTCTATTAGCACTATGAGT